GGACACTGGCTTCCTTTCTCTTCCTCCCACGAGACCCTCCATCTCCTGACACTTGGCATTTTCTCTGGCCTTGCCTGGAATACTCTCCCTCCTCATCCCTGCCTCCCGACTTCCTTCAAGTCTGAGCTAAAAATCCCACTTTTTGCAAGATGCCTTTCCTAATCCTCCTTAATCTCTTGTTTTAATATCTTTTGTCTTAATATCTTGTTTGTATGTTGTTGTTGCTATTCGGTCATGTTTGACTATTTGTGACCTCATTTGGGGTTTTCTTGGCAAAGATTCTGGAATGGTTTGCCATTTCCTTCTCCGGCTCATTTGACAGATGAGGAGACTGATGCAAACAAGGTGAAGTGACTTGCTCAGGGTCACACAGCTACTAAGTTTCTAAGGCCAGATTTGAATTCATGAAGATGAGTCTTCAGTACTCTGTTTGTATGTAGTCATCTGCATATCGCCTCCTCCATTCGACTGAACTTCCTGAGAGCAGGGACTATTTTTGCCTTCTTTATATCCCCAGCACTCAGCACGGTACTTGGCACATAGTAGGCACTTAATAAAGCCTGATGCTTGTTGATTACATTAATCCTCTTCATCCATATCCCACGTCTCTGGTGCTTTGTGTACTCCAGGTGGTTGTCCCCGTGGAACAGATCTCATGGCCAATCTGACATTTCGGGAGTACATTTAGACTAATCTGCACATCCCTGATGTATATGTTGAGCAAAATAAACACCTGTTGAATGGTCTTTTTGTTCTTTCCAAATCACAGGAGCCAGAAATGCCAGATGATCTGAAGCCAAGTTGTAGTTTTAACAAAGGGATACCTCACGTATAAAGGGCTCCAGGAACCTTATCCTGATTGCCTCTTTGATAACCAAAATATGTTCCCTATGCTTTCTTACCAGAGCAGTGAAGTTCCATCTCTGAGATTTAAAAGTTAGCTCACCACGTATAATAGCAGAAACTCTTTGGATGATGGACACACTTATAAGAATTTAAGTAATGCACACCAGTGCCTACAAAGTAGAAAATAGGATTAAAAATGAGAGGAATGTTTACCAGATGACACCTGGCATACAATTGGGAAACCAGTCTCCTCCATGTGGAGAGTTCCACTGCATGGCTGAACACACCTGAGCATGTCTCAGCCTGCTCTCCCATACAGCACCTAAGCCGGGATGTCACAGAGCGTTCATGCACAGCTCATGGAGAGACTTCTCGCCATCCTCCCTCATCCCCACCTGCCCCTCCCCAACCAAATCACACCTCATTACCACCGTATGTCTCATAAGTTACATCAAAATGTCTATGTCACTCAGTAACACAGGTTGATGGAGAAATTCTGAATATTGAATTCAGCACCAAAAAGTTCATATAAAAACATTGAGAAATGTTTTTTGTGGCAAAAATAGTTGTGGCAAAAGCTTTGGGCCATTTTTGGTGTCAGCCTCCATAACTTCAATCACCACACAGAATCCTCAATTCCATGTGGTTTACATATACTCTCTGTAGATGGTGACCATGAAGGTGCTGTTTAGTCTGGTGGGAATGATGGAAAAGATGATGGCGTGCTTTGAAATCCCTTTGAATTCCAGCTTTGCCACTTGAGGTTTTTGTAATCTTGGACAAGCCACTTAACATCTCTGAAACTCAGTTTCCTCTCCTGTAAAATTAAAAGATTAGACTCAATGTCCAGTCTTATAGATTGGATGATCTATGATTCTATGAATCTGTGAGTCAGCCCTCTGCTTTGGTCCTGGGCAATTCCATTGAACTGGGATAAAGGGTAGGGACTGAATCCAGATAGAACAGTGTAAGTTAATATTATCTCTACCCCATGCATACCACACCCTTCTAAGGGCTCCCTCGTGTTGTCTTGGGATAGTGGGATAACTTCCAGAGCCTTTAGGAAATGTTACCAGTCACCACAGGTTCTCCTGGCAATGTTTGTTGGATAGATGGATGGATGGATGGCTAGATAGAGAGATGGATGGATAGATGAATTATCTTTCAGAGTTAGTGGGAAGGAAAAAGCAAAAGGATAGGATAGTTTTCAAAAGAAAAATCTCTTGGTGCTCTATACTGCTGGGTCTTCGGAAAGTGGGGTTCATCTGAGCCCTGGAAAATGGTCTTCTCACTGTTCATTCTTAGGCACTTCAGCCCGACTTGTCTCAGCAAATCCATTGGAGGGGCCAACTGGAACGGAACAGCTCCCGGCACTCCGGGTGAATATTTGGGATCCCTCAGAAAAGGCTGCCTGTTTGAGCATGTTGGGGACAACCTTTCTTCCCCCCAAAAAGTACCCAGTCCCTTTACTCAGAAAAGCTTGAAAGGCTCAGCGGGCAGAACTTGAAGTCTTCTCATCACAAATGGTACAGATGAGAAATTCCAACTGCTTCAGGAAGCTAGGGGAGAGGACAGAGGTATTGGGAGACAGAAGTCAGAGAAGAGGAACTTGAGAGATGATGTGTGTTCACTAAATTCAGATTGTTTTGTTGGATTCCATTCCTGGAGAGCAAAGACTGAGCTGGGTTTGTGGAGGTTGGAAATGGTGACTATCTTTGGGTATCTGAAGGGCCATCATGTGAAAAAGGGATTGGAGATTGTTGAGCCTCAGAACATAGAACCAGGGGAGTGGGCAGAGGCTGTAGAGACATTACAGCTCTGGGTAAAGAAAAATTCCCTGTCCTGGGAGCTGTCCATGAGCCCAGTACGCTGCCTTGGGAAGTGGGTTCTCCATCATGGCAGGTCTTTAGGTCCTGGCAGGGATGGTCACTAGCCGAAGCGGCTGTTGAGGGGAATTTTTGTTCATGTGCAGATTGAACCAGATATCTGCCGAGGTCCCTCCCTCCTCTGAGACTCTGTGACTCATTCCTGATTCATGTCAATTCATTAAGCTCATGAGACAGGAGATCTTACATGTGTGTGTGTTTGATAGACCTCTTCTCAGAATAATGTCTTAAAGTACACAAAGGAAAATACATAGGATTATAAATTATATTTAAATACAATTATCTATCTATATATATACACATATATTGCATGTATAATTTGTATATATACATGTGCATATATCACATATATAATGTGTATGTATATATGTGTGTGTATACATGTGTGTGTATGTATATATTATATATATACATGTATGTACACATATGAACGTTCATGGACCCCACATTAAATCCCCCTTAGGAAGTATTTATCCTGTTCAGCATGGTTTGAGGCACAGTATGGGGGGAGACAGGTGTCATCCCTGATCTTGAGAGCCTTCCAGATTAACTGGAGAGTTAAGACTCAGATGGAATCATTGAAGCCCAGATTCAAAGGGTGTGTGAATTACAGAGTACACATTTGAAGTTACTGGAGAAATCCAGGGCAGGGAGAGGCCCATCCTCAAGCTTTGTTGACTGCCAACTATAAGGAACCCTCACGTGAATTCCCCTTATCCTTTTCTCTTTGTTCTGTATTATTCCCCTTTTTATGCTCCACCTCTCTACCCTTCCTCCTTCTAATCAAACTTGTTCGGTTGTTCTTTTCAGTCACGTCTGACTCTTTGTGACCCCATTTGGGGTTTTCCTGCCAAAAATACTAGAGTGACTTGCCATTTCCTTCTTCAACTCATTTTACAGATAAGGAAACTGAGGCAAACAGGGTGAAGGGACTTGCCCAGGGTCACACAGCTAGTAAGTGTCTGAGGTCAGATTTGAACTCAGGACGATGAGTCTTTTCCTGACTCCAGGCCCAGCGCTCTGTGCACCATGGCACCACCTAGCTGCCCTCTAATCAAACTTGCCTGTTAACCATTCCCAATAGACAATATTCCATCTCCCCCCTCCACACCTTTGCATAGGTAGCTCCCCATGTCTGCAGTACGCCCCTACCTCTTAGATTTCTTAGCTTTCCTCAGAGAGCAATTACTCCTACTCTAGGTCTTTCCCAATGCCCCTCCCCCATTTACTAGAGGTACCTCTCCCCCCTCAAATTACTGGGTAATTGGGTTGATACACATATACAAAACTAGGCCGAGTAATTCCTAGACACGAACATGAGACTCACACAGGATGGGCAGAAATGAATGGATTAAGTGCTGCATCATTAGGTGACTCAGTGGATAGAGAGCTGGGGTCTGGAAGACCTGAGTTCAAAACCAGCCTCAGATACTTATTAGCTGTGTGACCCTGGGCCAGTGAGTTAACCTCTGTTTGCCTTAGTTACCTCATCTGTAAAATGGGGATAATAACAGCACCTACCTCTCAGGGTTGTTTTAAGGATCAAATGAGATCATAATTGTAAAATGTTTACCATAGTGCCAGGCACATAGTAGGTGCCATGGAAATGTAAGCTGTTATCATTAGAGGGAAGACCCACATTGATGACATATGTCCACTGGATTATTTGGAGTAAGTTTGTTTCTACTTATCTGTGGGGATGTTATATCTCCACCCCATTCCACCCCCAGTAGAGTATAGTCTCTTTCAGGGCAGACCCCATTGTGTTTGGTAATTTATAGTGCTTTGCACATAGTAGGCATTCAATAAAAGCTTTTTGAAAAGAATGGAATACAATGAGATTAAGCATGGAAAGCTTCCTGGAGGAAGTGGATCTTGAAGGAGGTGAGTTTTTCTCTTGAGTCTGCTGCCTCCCAATCAATCTATTAATCAATCAACAAGCATTTTTAATGTGTCCTGGACTGTAATGAGGACTGGCGATACAAAGACAAAATTAAATAGTCCCTGCCTTCAAGGAGCTTACATTCTTATAGGGGATACCACACAAACATGGCGGGCAGGGCAGGAGAGCTTGTTACTTGGTGACTCTTTCCGCTAACTCTGCGATGAGGTCTTGTCTATGCTACTGAAAGACTGCACGTGATGCCCGCCCCCGCTAACTCGGGCCCCCGGGACAGAGCCCCAGCTCCTGCTCTGCCTTCCCTTCTCCTCCCTCTCCCACCAAGACGCCCTCTCCCACCTCAGCTCTCACCTGCTTCTCCCTTACAGTACTCGCCATTGCTGAAGAAACTGTACTGCCAGATCGCCAAGACGTGCCCCATCCAGATCAAGGTGTCGACGCCCCCTCCGCCTGGCACCGTCATCCGGGCGATGCCTGTCTACAAGAAAGCAGAGCACGTGACCGAGGTGGTGAAGCGCTGTCCCAACCACGAGCTCGGCAGAGACTTCAATGAAGGTGGGGCGGGAATGGCAGGTGCACGATGAAAGATGCACAAACGACTCGATTCAGCCCATAGCTCTTGGGTGCCTGTTTACCAAGTGCAAGGCTTCAGGCTTAGTGTTGGGGGTGCAGAGACAGACATGATACTAAGTTTGCCCGTAAGGGGCTTGAAGTACAGAAGCATCATGGCACAGTAGATAGAGTGCTGGACCTGGAGTCAGGAAGAGCTGAGTTCAAATCTGGCCTCAGGACACTGTGTGAACCTGAGCAAGTCACTTCACGTCTGTCTGCCTCAGTTTCCTCATCTGTGTAATGGGGATAATAGTAGCACATACCTCCCAGGGTTGTTGTAGGGCTCAAATGGGATAGTATTTAAGTAATGCATTAAGTGATACGGCAGCAACAGAACAGGCAAAGAGAAGGACCAGCCAATAATGCTAAGATGTCATTAATAATAATAACAATAGCCAGTATTTACATAGCACTCACTAGGTGCCAGGCACTGCATTCTTCATGTCATTTGATCGTCACAACAACCCTGGGAGGTAGATGCTGTTATTATCCTCATTCTACAGATAAGGAAACTGAGGCAAACAGAGGTTCAATGCCTGCTCAGGGAGACACAGCTAGTAAGTATCTGAGGCCAGATTTGAACTTGGGTCTCCCTGAGTTTAAGCCCAGCCCTCTATCCACTGTGCTAAGTAGAAGTCCATAAATTCAATTCAGTGAACATTCCCTGGGTCTTTGACCGCATCTGAAAGGAATGTTGTTGATTAGTTGTTTTTCAGTCATGTTTGACTCTTTGTGGCCCCATTTAGGATTTTCTTGGCAAGGATATTAGAGTGGTTTGCCATTTCCTTCTCTAGCTCATTTTACAGTTGAGGAAACTGAGGCAAACAGGATTAGGTGACTTGCCCAGGGCCACACAGCTAATAAATGTCTGAGGCTGGATTTGAACTGGGGAAGATGAGTCTTCATGCCTTCAGGCAGAACACTGTCCACTGCACCAAAGAAATACAAGGATGAATAACTTAATTCATCAAATAGTTCTAAGGTTCATATCAGTCAATCAAGAAGCGTTTATTAAAGGTCTACAGTGTGCTGGCTAGGCACTGTGCTGAATGCTGGGGATACAAACAAAAAGAAAAAAAAAACAGTTCTCCCCTTAAGGAGCCCACGCTCCAATGGGGTGGACCATATATAAATACAAGGTACATGCAGAGTACATACAACGGCAATCTCCAAAGAAAAGGCACTAACAATTGAGAGGACCCTTTGGAGGTGACTTTTGAGCAAAGTCTTGAAGGAAACCAAGGATTCTAAGAGGCAGAGGTGAGTGTAAAGTGCTTTGCTCAGGCCCTGTCCTTCTGGGGCTTACAGTCTCATAGGAAAGAAAGGCATGGAAATCAGCCTTCACAGCACAAGACATCGTAACAAGTGCTGTACGCAAGAGGTCCATCATTTGACAGATAAAGAACCTGGAGCTCAGAGGCAGGCAGAGGCTTCCTAGGTTATACACCTAGTTAATGACAGGGCTAATACGTGAACCCTTCTGACTCTTGGGCCACTATTTTCTCTACTGTGTCCATCAACAAAAGGAAATACCATTTCTAGCAGGAGTGATCAAGAAGAATTTTTGTAGGAGGTGGCATTTGATCTGGGCTTTGAAGGGCAAATATAATTTTCCAGTAGATGTGGATAGCAATGAGAGGATTGATTGGGCATTCTAGGTATACAGAATAATAGAACATGTGGGAATGGCAAGATGATCATACTGGTTGAAATGGGGCATGTGGCACACTCCATTGGCAATCCCTACCCTGCCACTCACTGCCTTGGGCAGGTCACTTGATTTCTCTGGGCTTTGGTTCCCTCATCTGTCAAATGAGGGGGATGGGTTGAGTGACCTCAGAGGTCCGTTCCAGCTTGAGCTCATCGATCATGCCTCTGATCCTACAATCCTATAACCCTATGGATGAACAGGGGGTGCAGTTCAAAGGAATGCTAGAAAGGCAGGTTGGGGTCAGATTGTGCAGGGCCTCGGGACTCTAGGCTAAAGAATCTGAACTTTCTCCAGTGGGCACTGAGGAACTTGCAGAGTTTCTAAGCAGGAGGAATGAGCTGATCAGAGCTAGGAATGAGAGAAATTAATCCATCAGAGGATTAGAGACAGGTCAGCTGTTTCTGTTGTAATGGCCTGGGGATAACCCAGCATAGAAAAGCACTTCCCAGGGCTCTGTCTCATTATAATCTGGGCCTCCCAGGGCCCAGCATTGGAAAGGGAATGGGGTAGGGGATAGAATGATTGACGGTGGGTCCAGGCTCACAGGGAATGCTCCTGCTGACTCTGAGCTCTCTCCCGGCAGGACAGTCAGCCCCTGCAAGCCACCTCATCCGAGTGGAAGGCAGCAACCTCTCTCAGTATGTGGATGACCCTGTCACTGGGAGACAGAGTGTGATGGTGCCATACGAGCCACCCCAGGTAAGTCAGATGACCTTCATTTCCTTCCCTGAAACCCTGAAAGTTTAGAGACTTTACCTTGGCCACCCCATCTTTCATGTCCGTTTACCTTGATGAGAAAGAAGGTCTTGCTTAGACCTCACTGCAATCCCTCTGGATTCATCTAAGGCCACCTGAGTCAGCCCTTGTGGCCTTGCTTTCCAAGAGTCAAACAACCCCTTTTCCTTTAGCTTGTTGTCCTCATGGACCCATTTTCCCATCCTTCCCTTATTTCTTTCATCTGAAGGATTGTGTTCAGTTCTGGGGACTACATTTTTAGGAAAATATCCACAGGAGAACCAATTGTGATGGTGACAGACCTGGAAGCCATGATAAAGGGGGAAGGGGGAGAGGCAATAAGCATTAATATAGTTCCTACTGTGTGCCAGGCACAGTGCTAAGTGCTTTTACACATATCGTCTCATGATCCCCACAACAATCCTGAGAAGTAGGTGTGATCCCCATTTCACAGTTGAGCACACCAAGGCAAACAGAGGTAAAGTGATTTGCCCAGGGTCACACACCTAGCTAGTATCTGAGGCTCTTGTGAATTAGTGTGTATTTTCTGTTCATCTTTGTCCAGACTCTCCCGTTAGCTTCACCGCCATAAGCTATATGTTTGGGGTGTTCTCCGTCTCCCCTCCCACAGACAAAGAATATTGGCCGTTGGTGGATCAAGGGCTCTGCTTCTCAAAATCAGCCCCCTCGAGGGTCAAAAGCATCCCCCAATTTCTATCCCAGCTTTCTTCCGATAAGAGCCCAGAGACTACTTAGTGCTATGGAAACAGGGGTAGGGAGAAGATGGGAATGGGGGGAGGTGGGGTAACAGTGGACAAGAGACATGGGTTCAAATATCAGCCCCTAACTAGCTCTACAACCATGGACAAGTCTTCTCCATGTTTCCAGCCTCAGTTTCCTACTCTGTAAAACGAGAGGACTGGACTCAAAGGGACCTTCCATCACTTAAGCTCTATAAGCTTACAAACAAGACCTAGCTCTCCCTCTAGCGGTCTTGGGTGGTGTAGCACACTTAGGACTGTGCATGGTTTCCCAACCAACTTCCCAACATGGGGGGAGGAAGGAAATCAACGAGCAACTTTAGAAAACACTTTAAGATCTGTGGAGTATTTTACATGGATCTTCACAACAACTCTGTGGAGTAGGTACTCTGATTATCCCTATTTTACATGATAAGGAAACTGATGTTAAGTGATTCACCCCTGCTCATACAGCTAGGAAGTGTTGGAGGTACTAGGTCAGAACCCAGTTCACCCTGATCCCGTTGAATGTTCCCAGGAAGTCCAAATGATTGGGCCAGAGAGTCCAGAGTCCTCGAGCTTAGTCTCAGTTCTGCCACTAACTCATTATATGGTTAAATTTCTTCTTGGTTTCTCCATCCTTAAAATTCTGGGAGGTGAGGGGCAGCGATTCCTTCTGGTAGATGATAATTTAAAGGTTCTTCTAGGGATAAGGGCCCTTATAACTAATATCTTGTGAGCTAAGCCTTCTCCCAGCTCTGACATTCTAGGGTTCTTCTGGTTCTAAGAGCCTATGCTCTAACACCCCTTCTACCTCTCATATTCTGTATTCCAAGATCTCTTCCTTTTCTGATATTCTAGCTTCTTTCCAAGATCTGACATTCTAGGTCCTAAGTACCCTTCCAACTCTGACATTTTGGGTTCTAAGGAACCTTCCAACTCTGACATTCTAGGTTCTAAAGACCCTTCTAACTCTGACATTTTAGGTTCTAAGTACCCTTTCAATCCTGAAATTCTAAGTTCTAAGAGTCCTTCCAGATTTTACATTCTGTATTCTGGGATATGAGGTCCTTTCTGGTTATTAATTTCTTTATTTCAGTTTTCAACATTCACTTCCATGAGATTTTGAGTTCCAAAATTTCTCGTCATCTCGTCCCTTCCCCTACCCCAAGATGGCGTGCATCCTGAATACCCCTTCCTCTAATCTGCCCCACCCCCCTTCTCTTATCTCCTTCCCCTTCTTTTTTCCTGTAGGGCAGGATAGATTTCTATACCCCATTGTCTGTATATCTTTATAATATCCCTTCTAGCTCTAGCTTGCTATGTCCTAAAGGCCCTCTCAGCCTCAATCTTCTGTGTTCTGAAGTCCCTCTCAGCCATGGCATTCAATGGTATAAAGTCCTTTTGCAGTTGACTCCCTGATTAGTCAGCCCTAGTCTCTCTTCTGAGATCCAATCCTGCTTCCTGTTGGACATTTACAACTGGATATCCCATAGGCATCTTAAACTCAATTTGTCTTTGAGTCACTGTGTTCAAAACAGAACTCCTTGTTGTTTCCCCCAATCTCTTCCCTCTTCTGCTCTTCGCTATCACCAGAGAGGGGCAACCTCAGGCCTCCTGGTCATCCAGGCTGGCGACCTCAGTGTCACCTTTGACCCCTCCCTCTCCTTCTCTGAGACGCTTTTTGCCCTTTAGGGGGCTGATCTTGAGAAGCAGACGAACATATAGCCTGTGGCACTGAAGCTAATGGAGGAATCTGGACAAAGATCTGTTGCCAAATCCTATCAAGTCGCCTTCCCAACATCTATGCCCTCCCCCCATCTCCCCACTCAAACAGCCTCCCCTCTAGTTCTCTTCGCCGCTTACCTGGGCCATTGCAATAGCCTTCTAGCTGGCCTTCCTCCCACTCCAGTCATCTTTCCCTCAGCTTGCTAAGCGTTCTTCCTGAGGCACCAGTCTGACCACGAGATGCCGATCCCTAACTCAGTAAGCTGCAGGGTCTCTGTTACCTCCAGGCTTAAACAGACAGTCCTCTTCATAACTTGGTCCCTTCCTTCCCTTTGTTTTCTCAAACTCTATGATCCGACAGCGTTAGCTCATTTAATGTTCTCTGCACAAGACACCCCATCTCCCTACTCCTTTGCCCAGGCTGTCCCACATGCCCGGAGTTCTCTCTCATCACCTTCTAGAATCCCTGCATTTCTTCAAGACTTAGTTCAAATCCTTCCTTCTTCAAGAGGTTTATTCTGGTCCCCCTGGCTACTTGAGCCTTTTCCTCACCTTTCTCTTCTCTTCTGCTTGTTTCTATTTATTTATATGTTGTGTCCCCCACCCTCCTTGTTTTTCCCCATTGTTATGTCCCTCTGCTTAGCGGTAAGATCTTGATAAGTCCTTATTGATCAATCTGTTGACGTTCCATGTCCCAAAGTAGGTTCCTTGCAGTTCTGACATTCTCTGTTCTAAGGGCCCTCTTGCTTTGACTTTCTTTGTTCTACAGTCTCTTCTAGCTCTGCCATCCTGTGGATCCGTGATCTGGCATAGTAAATCAGGCACCTTGCAGCCAGGATTTGGGTTTCTGTTACTATACAAGCTTCTGCAGAGGCTGAGTGAGATTTGGGACACAGTTCCATGCATGCACTGAATTATACACACTTTTATAGCAATTTAAGATTTGCAAATGTTGTTTCATTTTATCCTCACAACCTGGGGAATATATTGTCCCCAATTTACAGCCAAGGAAACTGAGGGAAATGGAGGTTAAGTGACTTGCCCAGGGTCACACAACCAGTAAATGCCTGATGCTGGATATGAAGTAAGATTTTCCCTACTTCATGTCCAGCACTTTATCCACTGTTCCATTTCGTTGGTTATACATGCAGACACGCGTGCAACCCAACAGGTGCATATGTTTACATGTGGACCATGTAAATGGTGGAACCAAATAAACTAATTCACTCTTTTTTCCCCTAAGTTTTGTTCTTTCTTAAATACTTTTGAGTTACTCCTTCTCGTGTTCTAGGAGATCAGACCTATTAGAAACACAAGTATATTCATTTCTCAAGCATTTGCTAGAGGTACTGTTGACTATCTTCTTCACAGCCCACAAGGTGGTTTATTGACTTCACAAGAATTCCACTTTACAGGGGAAATCTGGTGGTTTATATGCCTTTCCAAGGAGCTATTAGAGAATTCTGAGCAGTTACCTACAACCACACTACTTACATTATAGTTGGGACTCCAGAACAGAGAGTTTATCTAACAGACTAGCGACAACCAGTATTTATCAAGCACTTACTAAGTGCCAGGAACTTTGCAAAGCAAATGAAAGACGGCCCCTGTCCTCAAGGAGCTTACATTCCAATGGAACAAGACTGTACAGAAAAGGGAGCTAGGAAGAAAAGTAGCGAGGAAGGAAAAACAAGGGAGGAAACAAGTCAAAAATACAATTGTGTCATTAAATCTTGACAAATCAGTAGCATAGAGCTTCAGAGACTCCATGATGAGATCGAAATGTTGCGGACCCCCAGAGATCCAAATTACTAAAACAATTATTAGGACGGAAGTTCTGTTTCTGTAATATTAATGGAATATTTTCATGTATTCTAGTCATTTGGCATGTGACTGATTAACCTTGGTTCTGTAGTTAGTGGCCAAAGTTAATGGCCCAGTTATTTCAGCTACACAATTAAGGTTTTTCAAATACCAACACAAATACCTATTCCTCCAGAAAATGGTTGGATGCGTCCAGATGATTTTAATGGAGATTTTTTAGTGCTAACTGAGCCCTTGCCTTCCAGATTTATCCAAAGCCAGAGCTGAGTTTGTCTAAGGATGAGTTGAACTGCATCAGGCATCCCATAGGCCCAGCAGTGTTTGCTTTTTGTAGTACTCCAGCTGTATTCCATTCCTGTGCCTTTCTTACTTTTCTTGAGAGCAGGTCGGGACAGAATTTACCACCATCCTGTACAACTTCATGTGCAACAGCAGCTGTGTGGGAGGCATGAACCGGAGGCCCATTCTCATCATCATCACGTTGGAGACTAGAGAGTGAGTTGGATGGGGAACTTGAATGGGGTGGGATTGGATGGGTTGAGGGGGATGAGATGAGAAGAGATAGGGTGGGTGGGATGGGATGAGGTGGGATGAAAAGAGATTAAATTGCAAAGAAGTTGCAGATTTGCATTGGTAAAGGGAGTTCTTAACAGCAGAATTCTCTACACCAGAGGTGTCAAACTCAGAGCCAGAGAGGCCCCCATGGCCTACAAAACTCCCCAATGGGACCCAACTAGATTTAAATTTAGTTGGGAAATCTTTAATAAAATAAACAAAAATGTAATACAAGATAGATAATGTAAATTTGTGGTAGGTAACAGGTAGGGATTTGAGTTTAACACCACTGAAATCACAGGGCAATTCTTATTCTTTTTAAGGTTTTCAAAGCTGTTTACATCTGTTATTTGGTCCTCACAACACCCTTTGGAAGAAGGTGATAATGTTGCTCCCATTTTATAGATCATGATACTGAGGATCAGAGAGGTTATGTGACTTGCCTGGAATCACACAGCTAGTCAGTGTCAGGGACAGGATCTGAATCCAGGTCTTCATGAATCCAAGGCCAGCTCTATATGCACTGCACCAAACTGCCTCCCTAAATACCGTGGGAGGGAGGCAGTGTGAGACAAGGAGCCTTCAGAGGATGAACTGAATGTGTCTCCTAATGCTCCCCTAGGAGACAATAGATCAGTCATTTGCTATATTAAGAAAGTAAGGCAGGGTGTCGCTGGGCTTCAGGAAGAAAGACGATTTGGTGAAAGGGAAAGAACATTGGTGCTAGGACCCTTGGGTTTGAGTCTGACCTCTGACCTCTGCCACTGTCCAACTTCCTTCTGTGGGCCTCAGTTTCCACATCTGTGTGAAATGATGCTGAATCATCTTACCGGTCCCTTCCCACTTGAAAATCCCATTGTTCTTTGCCTGTTGTTCGGGGCTTTATTATGTGAAGCTCATTTTCCCCATCCCCAAAATGAGGGGTTTGGACTAATTTTCCAGAATGTCCCTTCCAGCTCTTACAAACCAATGACTTTTATTCATTTGATTTCTCCTTTTGTCCCAGAATGGGAGACAATTTTGCAATCGCAGGTACTTTTTTAATTCCTTCAAAGTGTTTGCATAGGGGGATGGCCTTCCCAGGGACAGCTCCTGGGCACCCGGAGCAATACTGGGTGGGACCAGAGTTCAGTTTTCTGCTCAGCCCCTTATAACTTGTGTGACCTTGGATGAGTCCATTCATCTTTCCAGGCATCAGTTTCCTCATTTGTAAAAATGAGGGAATTGAATTTTGGGCCTCCGAGGTCTTGTCTGGAGTTCTGCAGTCTTAATAGTTTCTCTAGGGTTTGAATCATCTCAGTTACTGGTGAAGAACATGGGTCATTTCAGTTTCAAGGCTGAATACCATTATGTCCATTCCCACCACTTCCCTGTTTCTAAAAAGAAAGAACTCAACCCCTACCTGTTCCATACTGACTAAGAAATCACCAAAAGGGTGATGTCTCCATGGCTGGTTCTGACCCATGTGTCTGTACTGGGACATGGTTGGGGTCAGTGGGTATAGACTGGGGCTGAGGCGTGTGGAGCCTCTTGGCATTCTCCATGCCCCAGAGATGCTCATGAGGGAGTCTCTGCTTCTGTTTGCCTGGCAGCGGGCAGGTTCTGGGCCGGAGGTCATTCGAGGGGAGGATCTGTGCCTGTCCTGGCAGAGACCGGAAAGCAGATGAGGATCATTACCGGGAGCAGCAAGCCCTGAACGAGAGCGCAGCCAAGAATGGGAACGCTACCAAGCGCAGTAAGTCTGGCTCGATGCTTTAGTTCTTTTAGTGTTTTGTTTTGTTTTGGTTTTTTTGGTTTGTTTTGTTTTGTTTTCGCTAGGCAGTGGGGTTAAGTGACTTGCCCAGGGTCATACAGCTAGTCAGTGTCATGTGTCTGAGGCTGAATTTGAACTCAGATCCTCCTGACTCCAGGGTCGGTGCTCTATCCACTGCACCACCTAGCTGCCCCGAAATGCTTCAGTTCTACAAGCTTTTATTAAGTGCCTGCCTTACACCTGGCATCGGGGGATACAAAGACAAATTAAACAGAACTCAGAGACTGAAGCCCAAGAGAGTAGCGGGCTAGGGCAGTGGATCTCTGCATAGATGAATTCATGGGAGCCGATGAGTCAAAACAATTTTAAGTGAAGCTTCTGGTGGTAAATACATCTCTGCTTTCCAGGCTCTCTGTGCAAGCCCTGGTTGAGTCTGGCTGAGGATGAGTTGGACGCCCTCAAGCCAAGAGAGGGTAATGAGAATAGAGCACAGGACCATGAGGGAACCTGATAGGGTGGTGATCCAGCAACAGAGGCTGAGGTGATGTCAGACAAGTAGGAAGAAAGGCAAGAGAAAGAGGCATTAAAACCTAGAGAGGAGAGAGTATCTAAAAGGTGGTGGTAGTCAACAGTGTCAGATTCAGCAGAGAAGTCAAGAGGTCTGAGAAAAGTCCTTGAGAGTTAGCCATTGAGAGACCACTTGTGACTTTGGAGAAAGCAGTTTCATTTGAATGTTGGGGTGGGAAGACAAATTGTAAACGGGTTGAGAAGTGAGTAATAAGTGAGGAAATGGAAGCAGACAGTGTAGACAGCTTTTTCTAGGAATCTGGCTGTGAAAGAGAAGGGAGCAAGAGGATGGTAGTTTCTGGGGATGATGGGATCTAATGAAAGGCGTTTTTTTTTTTTTCTTAAAGGCTAGGAAAGGTTGGACGTATTTGTAGATTTGTGGAAGAGGGGAAGGAAGGAAGGGAAAGAAGAGGGAAGAGAGAGAGGAAGAGAAGAAGGATGACAGAAAGGAAGGGAGGAAGAGAAGGAGAAAGAGGAAAGAAGGGAGGAAGAGAGAAAAGAAGGAAAAGAAGGAAGGAGAAGGAGGAAGAAAGAAGAGGATGGAAGAGAAAGGAAAGGAGGAAGGAAGAGAAGGAAAAGGAAAGATCTATATGTGTGTATATTTAATATAGATGTGTGTATATATCTATATATGTGTATATCTGTATCTATATCTATCTATATCTATATCTATATGAATGGCCATTCTGCATAGTTAGAAGGTGTTTCTTTCCTTGAGAGGTTCCTTATTTGCAAAATCACAAGTTGAAACCAAATATATATTGTTATATGATATATGTAATAATATTGACTCTTCATTATATGACCTATGCAGAATGGCCATTTGTTACATAATATATTATCTAATATTCAATGCTATCTATTCTATACCACATATGACATATATGTATACTAGAGGGTCCTTGGAGCGTATTGAGCAAAGGAGTGACATGGTCAGATCTTTAAGGATATCACTTTGGCAGCTCTGAAGAAGGTATATCGGACAAGGTAGGATCTGAGGCATGGAGCCATATTAGGGAGTCCATTCTAGCTAGTTGTGGTGGGGTGCTCTTACAGTCCTTGCTTCTGGGGAGGCTTGAGAAGGGAATCTCTGAGCAGCAATAGATTGAGCTATTGGTGCTTACACACTAAGTCTGACACTAATATATTGAGCCTCTGGCATTGAGGGTCCCCATCCAGGCTGTCACCATCCCAGACTGGAAAGGCAGGGTAGGTTACAGCTTCCAGGCTGGTCAGTAATGGGATCTGGCACGCCAGTGGCCACGGAACTTCTAGCCTAGGCAAGACAGGAAAACTTGTGTCTCAGAAAAGGGAACTCATGTCAGTAATCCAGGAGAGGTGAGCAGGGCTCTTACTAGAATGTTAACCATGTGAGTGCAGAGGGGACTGATGCAGACAATGCTGGAGAGGGATAGGGCTGATAAGAGTCGGCAATTGATTGCTTTTAACTTGTCTGCCTCAGTTTCCTCATCTGTAACATGAGGGTAATAATAGCAGCCACCTCTCACGGTTGTAGTGAGGATAAAATGAGATCATACTTGGAAAGTATTTTGTGAACTTTAAACTGCTAGATATTATTGTTACTAGCTAGTTATTATGGTTACTAGCATGAGCACCCCAAATCCTGCTAGGCCCATTCCCACGAGAGCACTGTATTTTGGAGTAGGCAGTGCTGGTAGTGGGCCAGGTGGGATATTATGCATCTGACCTAGATCCCACCCCAAGTCAAGGATTCCCTTTTAAATTCCCTGACATTGAGAAAACTATTGGCTTCTGCTAGTTTTGTTTCTCTTTAGTTTTTTTTTACTCAGAGATTTTTTAGTTAAATTTTGTTAAATTTAAATTTAGTTAAATTTATTTTAATTAAATTCAGTTTAAGGTTTTATATAACTGTTCATTCTCTACATTGGATCTGTACATTGGGAGAAATGTGGACTCCTTTCTGTAGAGTCAGATAGGTTAGGGGGAGATGGGGGTCCCTTTGGCACTATGAATACTTTGAGTGCTGGATTTGGGGTCAGAGAACCTAGGTTCAAATTCTGGTTTTTGCTCCTTACTACCTCAGTGACCTTGGGAAAGTTGTGTAACCTCTTCTAGCCTCAGTTTCCCCATCTGTAAAATGAGAGGGCTGGACTAGATAGCAGTAAAGATTCCTTTCAGCCCGATATCTCTGATCATGTGAGCTCCAAGGACTCTTCCTGTTCCAGTTCCTAGGGTCTTATTTCTTTCACTGTTACCACGTTTAGACCAAAGTCTTCTGAGCCTGGAGTCTGGAACACTCGTCTTCCTAAGTTCAAATCTGGCCTCATACACTTCCTAGCTGTGTGACCCTGGGCAAGGCACTTCACCTTGTTTGCTTTAGTTTCCTTATCTATAAAAGGAGTTGAAGAAGGAAATGAAAAACCACTCCAGTATCTTGGCCAAGAAAACATCAAATGGGTTCATGAAGAATCAGATACGACTGAACAACAGTATCAGAAGTTATCTAGTTCCCTCCCCTCGATCCATTTTTCAGATGAAGAAACTGAGTCTAGAGAAGTTGAACAGTTTGCCTGGGGTCACACGAGTAGTGACAGAGCTTTGACTTGAACCAAGGGCTTCTGGTTCCAAACTCTTTTCCATTCTACCATGCTCCATCTTGTACAGAAGGGCCAATCAGTCAGTCAATGGCCATCTGTGTTTATGACCACAGGACTTGGGGTCAGCAAGACTGTGGGGTTCAGATCCTTCCTCTGGCATTTATTAGTTATGTGGCCTTAGCCTTCGCTTACCCTCTCTGGACGTCAGAGGTGCTGAACCTAGGATTTGGGAGAGGCTATGCATTAGGGTTTTAACTAATTAATTAGCTAATTAATTAACTGGATCTCAATATAATTCAAAGTAATTGGTTTCCTTTGTAACCTGATGTATTTTATTTGATGCATTTAAAAATGTGATTATGAAAAGGGACTTCCCCCAGACTGCTGCTTAAGAAGGCCATGATACAGAAAAAGCCAAGGCCCCTGGCCTTGAACACCTCCACTGAGTCACCATCAGCTTATGCTCTTTGTCAGTGGACAGGGTTTTTATACGTGGAGTCTCTGAGTTGATGGAATAACGGATCCTTCACCTATTTGAGAATTAGTGCCACATGAATGACCACAGTGCTGCAAAGGGTGCATGTGGAACACGCAGAAATTTGGGGCAAGCCCCTTCCCCTAATTCATTCCTGTGAATTGAAGAGGGGCCTGGGCTGGCATTTTGGAAGTGGTTTCCATGATCTTCAGACATGCTGGGTGTTGTATGTGTATTTTTCTTTCCTGTGTGCATTTGTTTATATATAAGCTCGAGCATATGCCCATCCATGCATGGGCCAAGGCGAGATTTACTTCCATACTTATCCTTCCCAGGCCTTTGAAGTAATTTAATCAGCTTAACATTTTTTAAGCATTCAAATCATGTGGCCTCACCCCCAGGGAGGATGTTAGAGGTGTACATATTTTTGAGAATTGACCAGTGAGCCCCTCCCTTACCAGGCTGTTATCAGATTTCTGTTGTCCCGTCCCTATTACACCCTCCCCCTTATCACCTTCCCCTCCCCCTCCCAAACTCCTCTGCTGTCCATGCTAATGAATGGTCTTTCCTGTCTCACTTTAGCATTCAAGCAAAGCCCACCTGCCATCCCTGCCCTGGTGGCCAATGTGAAAAAGAGGAGACATGGGGATGAGGAGATATACTATATGCCTGTGAGTAGCCCCCTGCTATCACCAACACTGGCAGGGCCTCTGACCAGGTTGGGGATGATGAAAGACTCCTGGTCAAGAAGAGTTGTGGGTTTGGGATTGAGACCAGGGAAGGCCTGGAAAGTCAATTTAACAAATCCAACATAACTACTATGTACCAGGCACTATAATAACAACTAACTTTTATATAGCAACTACTATACGCCAGGCACTATAGTAATAGCTAACTTGTATATAGCACCTATGTGCCAGGCACTATAATAACGACTAACTTTTGTATAGCACCTACTGTGTGCCAGGCACTATAATAACAACTAACTTTAATGTAGCAACTACTATGTGCTGGGCACTATAATAATAACTATTTTATAGTACCTACTACGTGCCAGGCACTGGGCTAGGCACTTTGCAATTATCTCATTTGATCTTCACAACCACCCTGGGGTAGGGGGGTAGGGTACTATTATTATCCCCATTTTACAGATGAGGAAACTGAGGCAAACAGAAATGAAATGACTTGCCAAGCGTCACAGAGCTAGTATGTATCTGAAGCTGAATTTGAACTCAGGTCTTCCTGACTCTAGGCCCAGTGCTCTGTGTACTATGGTGCCCTCTAGCTGCTCCAGCTATGCTAGGTCCTGGGGGTATGAAGACAGAAATAATTGACTTAAAGGAACTTGGATTCTGTTCTGACAGGACTGATTCATTGAGCCAGCATTTACTCAAAAGGGGAGATCTAGGCAATGTAAAAACAAAAGGTATCAATAAGACTGATTTTTAAAAATCCAAACAAAGCATGCAGTTGAACACTTTCCAAGTGCTGTGCACCATACTAGGTGCTGTGGATACAAAAACGGGGCAGTCCTTGCCCTGGCGATGGGAGATACAGGTGAAGAACCTCACATTCCGGGGTAATTGGGAATGAGTGCAAGATACAAAAAAAGTGCCCTAGGAATATTTGAAGAAAGAGGGAAGACCTTGAGCTGTGGGCGAATCATTGAAGGCTTTATGGAGGTGGTGACACCTAAGCTGAGTCTTGATGAGAAGGAATCTGAAAGATGCAGATGAGAAGGGGCACATCTCAGGCATAGGGGAAGGCTGGGTGGCCATCAAGGCAGGAGAGGGCAGCGTGTGGCTGGATTGGGGAGAGAGTGAAAGGCAGTAATTAACGTGAGCTAAGGTAGGAATGGTAGGTTATTGGAAAAGACCTTAAATGCCAGACGAAAATGTTGATAATTTATCTTAGAAACAACAGGGAGCCACTGAAAACTTTTGAGTAGAGGAGTGACGTAGTAACATCTCTGCCTTAGGAAGATGATGATGGAGGATGAATTGGAGAGAGAAGTGAGAAGGAATAGGAAAAGCAGCTAGGATGCTAATGTCTAGGCAAGATGGATGAGGGCCTGGATAAGTGGACAAATAATTATTAAGCATCTTTATGTGTCTAGCACTGAACCATGTGCTGTAGGGGATAGGAAAAAAGACATGGACTCCATCTTTAAGGCATCTATAGTCTAATCGGAGAAATAAAGTCCATGTGCTCCAAACCCATCAGAGAACAATATCGTACAATGTGGAATAAAACTGTTAAATTTTGTGATTCAGCTACCATCAGCTCTGTCGCAGCACAGCAAAGAGGAGAGGTTATTTAGGGTCAGGGAGTTAGACTTTGTTGGAGCAGTAGCATTTTCATGGGTCTTGGAAAGATGAGTAGGTTTTGGAAATAAAGAACAGAGGAGATAGAATGATGAGTAATGGAAAATGTGATCAAAGAGCATGGTACGGACAAGGCCGTGGAAGATATGGACTGGAAGGAAGAATGGCCAGTAGATCACCCTCCCTGGAAAGCAGGAAGGAGGATGGAGAAGGGTTGGCCTCTTTCTGATAGAGCAGGAGTGTTAAAGGCTGCAGAGAGGGGTTGAAGGGGGTACTGGAAGAATTTGTCCTTGTTCAGTGGCTTCAGTTGTGTCTTCATGACCCTATTTGGGGTTTTCTTGGCAAAGATATTGGAGCTGTTTGCCATTTCATTCTCCAGCTCATTTTACAGTGAGGAAGCTGAGACAAACAGGGTGAAGTGACTTGCCCAGGGTCACACAGCTAACAAATGTCTGAGGCCGGATTCGAACTCAGGTCTTCCTGATTCCAGGCCCAGTACCCTATCCACTGCACCACCTAGTTGCCCCTGGCACAATGAAAAGATGCTTTTTGGGTCTTCCTGTCTTTCCCAATTTTATCATCATGGGAACCCTCCTGTCCTTGGATGCCCTGAGTCCTAGTCCTTAGACCTGAATCTAGTCCCATGCACGAGGACAAAAGGTAGTCTATTCATGGATCAGGGGGCTCATCTCTGTCCTGATTTGCTTTCAACTCAGGTGCGTGGCCGAGAGAACTTTGAGATACTGATGAAAATCAAAGAGGGCCTAGAACTTATGGAGCTGGTGCCTCAACAACTGGTTGACTCCTATCGGCAGCAGCAGCAGCAGCTCCTACAGAGGCCGTGAGTACTAGTTACTCCTCCTATCTCATGTCTGACCCTTTTCTCATTCACTTTTCCACCCATCCATAGGGCACATGACCATCCACCCATGCATCCATCTATCCTCCATTCTGTGTATCCATCCATCCATCTATTCATTCAGCCTCCTGTCTCTTCGTTCATCCATCCATCCATCCATCCATCCATCCATCCATCCATCCATCCTCCCTTCTATAAATCTATCCATCTATTCATTCAGTCTCCTATCTCTTCATTCATCCATCCATTCATCCTATTTCTCCATCCATCCTTCCTTCTATACGTCTACCCATCCATTCAGTCATTCCATCTCTCCCTCTGTCCATTCATTCATCCTATCTCTCTTTCCATCTTTCCATCCATCCTCCCTTCTATACATCATTCATTCAATCATCCTGTCTCTCCATCAATCTATCCATTCATCTTCCTATCTCTCATCCATCCTTCCATCTGTACACCCATTTATCTATTCTTTCATATGCATATCCATCCATTTATCCATCCTTCACTCCACCTGTCCATGTCTTGAAGTCTCTTGCTCTTTAGGGTAGTAAAAGGTGACATTAGGTACATAGTACCTACTAGCTATGTGGTCCTGGGTCAGTCACTTAACCATTTTGAATTTTGTTTCTTCATCTGTAAAATGTGTATAAAAATATAATAATAATAATAATAATAATATAATAATGCCTATCTCACAAGGTTGTTGTGAGGGAAGTACTTTGCCTGGAAGATTTGCAAAAACCTAAAGGCATTAACAACCACATCATTACCATCACCATCTTTGTGTAGGAGCACTCCAGGTACAGACCCAGTGACTGGCAGTGTGTTACCATCCACAGTCCAGTCTAGCTCAGTACCTAGTGGGTCACCACCAGCAGGTGGGCCACCAGGCAATGAGTTTTCCCAGCCATAGCAACTCATAAAACAGTGGAAGGCTTGAAATCTGTATCCAGGGAGACTGTGCCCACATTGATGAAACCATGGAGCCTTGAAATATTGACAGAGAATTAAAAGAAGATCAGAGACATCTGAAGAGTAAGGTCAGAGAAAAGAAAGATAGTTTTGTTTATTTGTTCAATTCACTCAACAAGCATTTACTTATTTATTTGGGAAGCAGTCAGGGTTAAGTGACTTGCCCAGGGTCACACAACTAGGTAATATCTGAAGCCAGATTTGAACTCAGATTCTCCTGACTACAAGACTGGTACACTATCCACTGAGCCACGTACCTGCCCCCAACAAGCATTTATTAAGACCTCCAGTATGCCAGGTGTCAGGCTGAATACTGGAAAAACAAACACAAAAGAGACCCTGTCTTCTGTCTTACAGTTTACTGAGGTAATACATGTACACAGATCTCATGTGCATATTTGTTTAAATATATATGTAGATATGTATATATCTATATCCATATAATATATATATATATAGAGAGAGAGAGAGAGAGAGATCAGTAGTAACATATATATCTACCTATATAGATAAAGATCCATGATCATTAGATGTGGGAGAGAGAACTAGAAGAAGTTCCCCTTAGGACATGGTTATATCTGTCTATCTATCTATCTATCTATCTATCTATCTATCTCTCTGTCTGTCTGTCTATCTATCTATCTATATATATATGTATATATATACATATATAGATATTGATAGTAATATATATCTATCTATATCTATATATATATCCATGATCATTAGAAGATATGGGAGAAAGGACTAGAAGTTCCCCTTAGCACATGGTTATATCTACATCTGTATATACATATATACATACATATATAGATATCAATAACAACATCTGTATCTATCTATATAGATATAGATCCATGATTATTAGAAGGTGTGGGAGAGAGGACCAGAAGAAGTTCCCCTCAGGACATGGTACTTGAATTGAGCCTTGGAGGGAGCCAAGGATTTGCAAAGACAGAAACAAGGAGAGAGTTCCAAGCAAGAACCAAAGCCACAGAGATGGGAGAGGTCAACCAGTTTGGTGGAATGTATGAGGAAGAGTAATAGGAAGTAATATAAAATAAACATCAAATAAAATAATTGGAAAACTAGGTCGTGGGTTCAAAGAAAGACTTCCTGGGTTCCCAAGTGAGAAGTCTCATCTTTATGCTTCTCATTTCCCTGGCAGGAGTCACCTGCAGTCTCCCTCGTCCTACGGCCCAGTCCTCTCACCGATGAACAAAGTCCACGGTGGAATCAACAAACTGCCTTCAGTCAACCAGCTGGTGGGGCAGCCTCAGCAGCACAGCTCTGCTGGAGGGTCCAATCTGGGGCCCATGGGTAAGCCTGCTTTGATGGTGCTACTACAGGGCAGGGAACTCTAACACAGGAGCACAGAGAGACAGTTGTCTGGGAAACTCCCCCTCCAGATGGTAGGATGTCCAATCAGAGCCAGATAAAGAACAAGGTTAATGAATGCAAATGTATGGGCTGGTGGAGAGCGTTCAGAAATACTGGCATTCAGAGTATCACCCATGAGATACTGGGACATCTTTGTGGCCTCCCTGCCTCCCAACTCAAATATGCTTAGTGGAGAAGGAAGGTTCAAGAACATGAGAGGGCTGTTGGTGGAGGGAGTTTCCACACTGGGAGCTCCCTCACACCTATGAAATCAAAACTCCAGACCAAAAAATCCCTGCCCTCATGTAGCTCACAATCTAGGACATCCATAGAAATAACTATAACACAAAACAGAAAAACCTGGGTGGGCAGGAGAGATATAAGCAAAGGGACTTTTTAGATAATATATACATGCCTTCTTGGCCCTTAAGGGGGTCCCATGTGCCTAGGCCAAGAGGCGAAAGGTGACTTTTCTTCTGTTTTGTTTTGATTCTCCAGAAGGGTTGAAGACAAGGAAACCGGATTGTGTTAGGACATTCAGTCCACTTTTCCATTTTGATCTGAGTGTCCACAATTTCAACAAGCATTTATTAAGTGCTAAGTTCTGAAGATAAAATGACAGGAGTGAAATGGTTCTTGCCCTAGACAAGCTTACATTCTAAAAGGAGAGGCAATGTGTACACATACAAGTAGATGGAGAACATCTGTAAGATGAATACTAGGTCATTTGGGGAGAGAGTGTTGGAGAGACCAGGATTCAGGAAGAGGTCGACATGCTTTGAAAGGAGGCAGCAGATGGATCTTAATGAACGGAAGCGGGATCTCCTCTCCCAATTTCCCCAGTCTCTCACCTGGTAAAGCGAGGAGGTCTTTCCCTTCCTTGCCAATAGCAGGTTCTGCCATTTCTGTCCACAGGCCCTGGAATGCTGAACAGCCACAGTCATCCCATGCAGTCTAACGGTGAAATGAATGGTGGCCATTCCTCACAGTCCATGGTCTCAGGGTCACACTGCACTCCTCCTCCCCCGTACAATGCTGACCCCAGCCTCGTCAGGTACACCTGTCTCTGGGCCCCTCTTACATGGCATATGGACACTTGTGTGATAGCTTAGCTTTCCCGTTTCCCTCCCTCTCCGCCTTGCCTCGTTCTCTTGTCTGCTAACCTTAGTACTTGTCTGCTGCTACTGCTCCACTAACTGGTCACCAGTTCCAACTGATAAATCACTGCCCAGGTCATCTTTCTACCCTGGGGTCAAAGGAGAAATATGGCTGTTGGCTGGCTATGCTGGCTTCAGTCAAACCTCGAGCACTGAGAAATTTCCCTTTTCTCATTATTAAAATTGCATCCTCCAGTTGAAATCGGAAGAGTAGGAAAGCAGCTGCTTCCTTCTGTCTCAGAACTTAGCACCCTGGCTCCCCCACCTTCCTCCCATGCAAACCCAAGGGGACTGTGGGGATTTCAGATCAATTTTTTTTATAAGAGCCACATCAGTGAGACCCAGCCCACAGAACTTTTTCTGGACTATAGAGCTCAGGGTGTGTTGAGCCCTGATTCAAGGGAGAGTGCATTGAGCACATTGACCAACCATCCCAAAAGGTGTAGAGCAGTTCTAACTGCACTGAGACTTTTGGGACACACTGTATAGTGAGAGGTCATTACTAGGTCTTACTGGTTAGCAAGTGTTGGCTGTGGATGAAGTCCTTTATTCAGTAGGAGTTGTATTCAGTAGGAGCTGGAGAGTAGGATGAGAAGTACAAGAAATAGAAGACCATCTGTGTATTCCAGGAGATTCCTGTCTACCTGGGCTCCAAGGGAGTCTTTCGTGTCTGATTTTTGAGTTGGTCTAGAGGAGGATAAAGGCCGGGAATGGATAAAGGCCCTGGACCCCAGGCAGTGACCATTGTACAGAAAAGTTCCCCAGGTCTCCAGAATGTCTTTCCTTGTATGAAAAAAGGGGGCACTGCAGTCCGGCTGGTCTGTGGACTGGGCTAGCTACGGTAACAGTCCCTAAAGGCCCATCTGGGGCCATCTCCAGTCGTTCTGATATATACATCTGGCCGCTCGACCCAGATGGCTCTGAAGAGACAGTGAAGCTGGTGACTCTGCACAGCCCTCCCTCACTTAAATCCAGTTCACTTGCAAGTCAAGGCATCACCTTCCTGATGTTATGGTCCTCAACAACAACCCTTAAGCTGCCTTTAGGGCAGATAGCTAATGATGAGACTCAGGGTAGTTAAAACAACCCATGTGGTAGGGTCCATTTTTTCTTGTACCAACCACAGACTATTAGTGGAGTCCAGAAAGAGGAGATAATTCTAGATGCTGGAAGGGAGAATGTCAAAGAGCTCTGATTTAGCTAATTCTCATTGTTAATCAATATGAGAGAGAGACAGAGACTCTGTGTTCAAATCCTCACTCTTCCATTTACTACTTATGTGACCTTCATGGCCTCAGTTTCCTCATCTGTATAATTTGAGGGTTGTACTCGATGACTTCTAAGGTCTGTTTTGGCTCAAAAATCCATGATTCTATGAAAAAAAAAAGCCAACCAGGGAAAGAGGGAGGGTACAAAAGGCTGAGTATTGACTTAACACTATTGATACTTCTCCATATTTAAGTTTATCCAAAGTTTGATGTGTCTCTAGTCCTGAGGCCACGGAGGGTGTGTTAAAAGAGGAAGCCTAAGGAGGAATCCATCCCAGTGTCTGTCACTGAAAAGAACCAGCCCATTCCCCCAGGGTTTGCAGGTCCTGTCCCAATGATGTATGAGTTCAGGGCTTCCATACCTAAGAAGTTAACATCGCTTTATTTTCCCAACCTCTTTCTTCAGTTTTTTAACAGGATTGGGGTGTCCAAACTGCATCGAGTATTTCACATCCCAAGGGCTGCAGAACATTTACCACCTGCAGAATCTAACTATAGAGGTAAATGCCTTGGGCAGATCTCTTCTTTCCACTGGCTCTATGGGGTCTAAGTTCTGAACACCTAGGAAAGAAAAAGAAAAACAAAGATGAGGGGGGGACAGTCATGGAAAGGAAAAGAATATCTTCCTTCCTTCCTGTCTAATGTTGGGGAAAAGACCTCCCTTCCACTATAATCCTGATTCCCATTTGAGTGCCCATCTTCCTTTTTTTTTAAAAAAAAAGAATTGGGTCTTCCATTCCCCTAAACTTGGCTATGATTTAGAAGTCAATCCCTAACAAATTTTGGTCAAAATAGATTGATTTGGATAAGAAAACTATGTGCAGTTAAGTGACAGTGCTAGATGGCATAATCAGACAGCCCTGGGTTCAAGTCTTGTCCATGATATGTCCTTGGCCTCTTGACCAACCCCAGAGAGGTCACTTTACCTCTCAATGTCTTGGTCTACTCCGTAGGATTTATCTACTGAGTCATAGATGAGTTGCTCATCCCCATGCTGATGACATCACTGACCCTTCCCATCTTCATGGTATAGCATTCAGACCACATGTGACGCAAGATTGTACAAGCTAGAATTCCTATAGTTTATTTGCCTCAGCAGGGCAATTTCTGGGGCATATGTGGTCTATTGGAAAGAACATGAGAATTTGTGCTTAGAGGATGCAGGTTTAATCCTGGCCTGGGCCACTCACTACCTGCATGACCTCAGGCCAGTCACTTGACCTCAGTTTTCTCATCTGACAAATGGGAATGCCACTACCTGCTCCACCACTTCACAATGGTGCTGGGATGCTCAAATGAGACAGCTTCTGTAGAGTGCTCCAAAACCATAAAGAGTTATGTAAACGCAACAGAAATAGCCATCAGTAGTATTACCATTAGTCTTGGTTAATGGTATCATACAGAATCTGAACAGGTCAGAGCTGGGAGGGACCTTAGAACACAGAAGGTCAGAGCTGGGGGCAAACTTAGAACATACAACATCCAAGATGGGCAGGACCTTAGAACATAGAATGTCAAGAGTTAAAAGGGACCCTAGAACACAGAAGGTCCAATCTGGGAGGGACCTCAGAGACGATGTAATCCAATCCCCTCATTGTGCAGAGCCCTTCTATAAGTCTTAGAGCATTATATAAAGTAAGTTCTTAGAATGATGAGTAAATTGGGACCCAAGGGTGTTAGACTCTTTCCTTCAGGTTATATCACTATTAGAATGCCACTGGATTACTGTGCATAGAACTGATAGAGCCCTGGGGATAGTGGCTAAAATAAATTGACACTATTCTTAATCTAAATAATAAACACACTATTTTAATCTAATAAATTGGAATGTGGTTCTGTTGAGCTAAAAATCTGCTTGGTTCAACATGTCTCCAACTTCAAATACACACACACATAATTGTTATTGAGGCTTTATCATCATTCCCTTGTTATGACTAGAGAGATTTACAACAGCTCACACCAGTAGAGCTTAAGACAAAGCACATTCCTCTGAGTGGCCTATTGTATGTTATTATTATCCCCATTTTATGGATGAGAAAGTGAAAAGCAGGTTAAGTGACTTGCCCTAGGTCACATAGCTACCATTAGACCTGGGATTTGAACCCACTTTTTCTAATTCCTACAAACTCAAATAGCCACCTTGGGCTATTTAGCACCATCTTAACCCCTTGGACACCCTACCTACTCCTCAGCTTCCTTTGGACTCTCTCTACTCAGGGTTCTTCCAGGGCTGTTACCAGTTCAGGGCTATCACCAAAGGAGAGACAATGGTTTGTCACTGGTAGCTGGGACCAGCTGCATAGGCTCAGCCTTCAGATGCCGCCAGCCATCACTAACTCCAGGAGGGAGGCAGTCTGCGTGCTCAATAATCAGCTGCTGCCTCCTGACCTTCATTCCTATGGCCTGATTTGAGGGCCATCAGATTGCCAAGCTGTGTCCGAGTGAAAGTTTTAACTCCCATCTCACCAAGTGTGATGCCTGTGTTTCTAACATCAGTGTTAGGGGTGGATTTGGGATTATATTTACTTTTTCCAAAGTTGACCTTGAATCTGTAGGTCTGGTCTGACCGCCTCCCCCATCTTTTTTTAAGGGCGTAGTCTTGTGATGTCTGCAAATTATTAATTTACCACCTTCCTTGTTTTTTCTCTCCCAGTAACATCCCAGGCCAATGATGCCCACTAGGCCCTAAGTACTCAACTTGATCTCACACCTCTGCTCAAAGAGCTCTTCCTATTGGCAGCTGCTTTTGGGAATTTCAATTCTATACCCGAGCTCCATTTCAGTTGACATTACCAAATGTGGTTGTTTGCATAAACTAGAGAGGCTCGGCACGGCTAGATGGCGCAGTGGATAGAGCACTGGCCCTGGATTCAGGAACACCTGAGTTCAAATCTAGCCTCAGACACTTGACATTTACTAGCTGTGTGACCCTAGACAAGTCACTTCACCCCATTGCCTCACCCAAAAAAAAGAGAGAGAGAGAGAGAGAGACCCAAGGCTTGCCCTCCCATGCATGCTTCTCTGAAATGTCCCTCCTTACTTCCTATAGAACCAAGAACATCTCTAGAAACCACACATTTGGTCATTCAAGAGAGCGGATGTCTATAGTGAGAACCAGGATGTATTATGGAGACTTTGTGTAAGAAATCAGTCAATTAATGTTGATTGATTGATTGATGGATGGATGTCAGCACTGGGAGTTCCGGTATAGATATCTGCTCCCTTCACATTCACAAGAGTGTCAAACCCGCAGCACATTCCCACTTAGCTCCTGGTGTTTCTATGTCAATAGCCACCAGGATTTTTGGCTTTTATCCAGAGTGGAGGTTCTACTGCCCATCACTGATACACAGAAAGATACCACTCCCTTGTCCCCAGTAGGATGAGAGGGGACACTTTTCTCTTGCCCCTGGCCTCCCTACTCCATCTCCTTCTAATCTTGGTGTATTTGCTACGTGGATCTTCCAGGATCTTGGGGCCCTGAAGATTCCTGATCAATACAGAATGACCATCTGGAGGGGTCTTCAGGAGCTGAAGCAGAGCCATGACTATGGGGCCCAGCAGCTTATCCGCTCGAGTAGTAACGCTTCCACCATCTCCATCGGGAGCTCGGGGGAGCTCCAGCGCCAGCGCGTGATGGAGGCTGTGCATTTCCGAGTCCGCCACACAATCACTATCCCCAACCGCAGCGGGGCGGACGAGTGGGCAGACTTTGGCTTTGACCTCCCTGATTGCAAATCCCGCAAACAGTCCATTAAAGAAGAGTTCACAGATGGGGAGATCAACTGAGGATGGGGAAGGGAAGGCTGGGGGAGATCCAGGAGGCGCTTCCCAAGGGGTAAGGTCCCCCAACCAGACTGGCTTCCAAAGGAAACACTCAAAAAAAAGAAAAGAAAAGAAAAACTCCAGGTATGGGAGATGGTGAAGAGTTCACAGCCTTAAGCCCCTGGAGAAGGTTTTGCTTTTTTTTTCTTTCATTTTTTGTTCCCAGGACTGGAATTTTGAGCTATAAGCAGCTCAGGGCCAGCCAGGGTGGTATGTCCATCTGCTGGGCCCCTCTTCCAGGAAAACATTTCTGATGTCCTTCAATTTGGGAGAGTTGCAAGGGAGAGGGTAGAAGCAGCCCATTCAGGATGGGCAGTCTGAATATTCTGTAGATATTTTGTAGTCTTGCACAGACTTATTTTGTGTGTCCAATCGATTAATTGTACAGTACATGTCACACATACAAAAATGAGGGACAGTGTCTTTCTCTGGCCTCTACCCTCCTTCTATCCACTCAGAAGTATCTGAATGGGGAAGATTAGTGTCATCATGAAAACTGACTTGAAATCTTTTGCATCTCAGCTTCTGTAGGGATTCTGCCAGCTTTCAGACCCTTTGTAACAAGGGGATCTGCTTCCTGATGGACTGCCAAAAAAAAAAAAAAAAGTATTTTTCAACATCCTTCAGTTCTCCACAAAGAAGCTTGACTGCGTCATTGTATTTCAAATGCTGTCTGTGTACATGTGAGCTCGCCCCCTGCATCTGCTGTATAAAGGAAATCATTGATTTTTTCAAGCCCATTTTCAAAGTGGCTTACTCATCCCCTACTAATGAGGGCCGATCAAGGCCATTCTCTTAGCCAGTTTGAGGGTGAATCAGTTCCATTCAGAAGCTGTGGCCAGTTTGGCCAAGAATCAGATAGTCTTTTTAGAATTTGCTCATTTCCTCCTGTACTCTGGCTTCCTTCTTTTCCACCCCGAACTCCCTGATCCCCCCCTCCCAGCCCCCACGATGTGGTTTCTTTCCATTTGGAGTCTGAATTCAGCGGGGAAAGATGGGTTTGCTGAAGTGCTCAGTCTTTCCTGGGAAACTGACCACCACATTGGAATGCTGTGGCTTCAAAATTTGACATTCAGGTGACCTCTGCTCAGCACAGAGATGGACAGTGTATTTCTCACGCTGTTGATATTTGTTCATATTTGATAAAGTGAAACATTCTTCCACATTGAAGTTCAGGGTTTGGTTTTTTTTAAATGTTTCATTTTCAACATGTGAAGGTCTCATGCCCAGCTTTTCAGCAGGTTTTCAGCCAACAAGATGAACTAAAGAAGGGCTGATCCAGTCAAACATGCCACCAGTTTATAGGGGTCTTTTGGAAGGTCTGAAAATACAGTCCTGATCCTGAGTCAGAGTTCTGCAAGTCATATACAGAAAGGGCAATTACATGTTTGCAACTGAGGGATCTGGTCTGGGCATTCTTTTCCATATATGACCCTGGACAAGTAACTTAACCTCTCAATGCTATTTGTAGTTCTCCAAGATTGTAACTTGCAAAGAAGGTGCCAACCTGCATTGGAGGAGGGAGTGTCCTCATCTGGAAGTTCCCTGTACCACTGACCTCATGGGTCTGGTCTCTGTTCCTATTTTCTTTTTTGGGAATAGCTTCACTCCATCATCTGTGGCCATTTGGCTTGGTGGGTGGGGAGAATTTGGGTGGGGTATGTATGAAGAGGTGGAGAATCAGAGAAGAAACAAAAATTAGGTGTGATATACCAAGGAGTATTTTAACTCACTAAAACACTGATCCAGATATTCATCCCCCAAGAGGTCCCTCCTAGGACAATTCATTCATTCAGTCCCTCAGTAAGCATTTATTAAAGCTCTATATGTTGTGAATAACAGACTCCGAAAGAGAAAAATCCATTCCCTCAAGCAGAACATATTTGCAGATAACAACAATTCACACAGCCTAATCCTAGGTTAACCAGCACATTTCTTGCTAAGTGACTCAGAGAAGTTCTTATCCTTTTTCTCATCGTGAAACCCTTGGGCAGTCTGGTGAAACCTATGGACCCCTTTCTCAGATTCATGTTCTTAAATGCTTATAATAAGATCCGTAGGATTGCAAAGAAAATGAATAATATTGAAATAAGATTATCAAAATATTTTTAAAAGCACAAACCCACAGAACCCAGGTTAAGAACTACTGGACTAGACAAAGTTATGTTTTCTGTCTTATGAGACAAAGTTCAGCTGATTAAATGGGTCATCTGAATTTCAGGGAGGTTACAACTAGGCTGATTTCTTTAAAATTTCTTTAAAAAGATTTTTCTCCCTGTGCCTTGGTGTGTGTATGGGAGGGTGGAGGGGCAGTTTTCATACGAGTACCTGGTACTATACCTGGAAATTTGCCTTCCTGAGCCCTGAATTCAAATGCATGAGAAAAGATTAAAATGAAGCCACTCCTTCATCATCAGAGGCAACTCCTTTGCTGGGGTGTCAATCCAAGGTCGAGAACAAATCTTTTTAAAGAGCTCAAATCAACACCTTTCCCAAATTCTACATTTTAGCACTGTGATTGCAAAGGCTCTCTATCACGTTTAGGTACCTTGTTGAATGAAATAATGAAAGGGGGGGGAGGAATTTGGGGGTCACAGAAAAAAAGGGAGAAATAAGCACTCTTCTGGCTATGAGGTAGGAAGACCAAGGTTCGTTTGCTTTGGGTGATTGATTAGAAAAGGAGAGGGTAGGGCTAAGATTGTCCAGAGTTCACCTTGGTTCCTCAAGTATTGCAGGTAACGAGCATTTATTAAGTGTTTAGTGTGTACTAGGCTCTGTCTTAGTCTAGGCACTAGCTCCAAGACCGTCCCTCAGAATCTCAGTAGGTACTGAGTTCACCAATTTCCCATCTATTAAAGTTTCACCAAAGGCCACTGAAGCATATTTCCTTTCAAAAAGAAAAAGGGCCTGAATTGGCCATACATGGTGGCATTAACGCAGACCATTGGATGCTCTTCTGCTGAGAACAGTCATTTCGTCGAGATTTACCCATCAGGCACCCAGTGACATCACCTTTAGGAACTGAACTAGAACCAGCCACAGGGACGGGTACGAGTTCTGTAGTGGGGGGGGGGGGGATTAGAACTCTCCAGTGTTTTGGTTACACAGACACATGCTTCTATGTTAGTAGCAAATTAAAGCACTTTAAATGCTTTAAGACTTATAAAAAAATCATTCATGTTTTCAATGTTATATCACGCTTCTTCAGGCAGTATTACTGGATCTATTCCAACAATATTGTTAACTTTTTTTGGATAATGTTATCTTGGGAAAATGTGTTATTTTTTTAGCTGTGTTTTTGTGGGTTTGTAACACAATAAAGCACATGTTCAAATGGAAAGGCCTCTTGTGGTTAATGGTAACTCCCCAAATGCTGTGAGTTCACATAAGGCCACCAAATGGGCCTGAATGAGTGTAAAGAATAATAACAATTAATCATAATCATAATCATAATCACAGCTAGTATTTATATAGTGCTTCATGGTTTGCAAAGCGCATTACAAATATTATCATTTTATTCTCATAACCATCTTGGGAAGAGGTAAGAGACTATCATCCCCGGTTTAGAGATGTGGAAACTGAAGCAGAGAACAGTTAAATTGGTTTAAAAAAGTCATCAACATTTATTTTGACGTCTTGCTATTCAGGACTTGCAGAAAACAATGCTGCCACTTTCAATAATGGGGAAGGTTTTTGCAGGCAAGCTAACGGCTCTGGAGAGCTGGGTTTGCTAACCCAAGACTTTGAGGACGATTCTCTCCAAAGTCCGAGTACTGCATACAAAACCTCTGCATCCAAGTTAAGAAGGAAGGCATAGCGAAAAGAGGGCCAGCCTTGGAGTCAGAAAGACCTGGGTTCAAGTCTTACCTCAGACATACATTGGCTGTGTGACCCTGGCCAAGTTACACCCTTCTCAGTGACCCCAAACAACTCCAAGACAGGTTCTTAACCTTTACTGTGTCATGGGGTCCCTTTGGCAATCTGGTGAAATCCAAGGACCCTTGATAAATGACAGTTTAAAATAAAATACATGGATTACAAAGAGAATTAATTATATTGAAACATAACTATCCAAATATTAGAAAAAAATAATGTCACAGATCCCAAGTTAAGAACCCCTGCTCTAAGCCTATGATGTTACAGATGGGGGGCAGTTCTGCATCAGTGGAGGGATCTTTTACACTGAAAGTTCCCCCACACTGATGAAATCACTGTTCTATATCAATATTAAAAAAAAAAGGATAATATTAAAGTAATTTTAAGAAAAACCAATTTTGAGGTCCTTTCACATATACTTAATGCTAGTCATCCTATTTTCTAGAACTGAGCAGTTATCGCCTCCACTTGACCCAACACAGAAATACTCAAGTTACTTGACTAGGTGATCGAGTTTGGAGAAAGGCCTAGCTCTTCTCTGAGTCCAGGGCAGGTCCTACTGGGCTAGAATACTGAGCCACCTCTGACCCCTAACAGTTACTTGATGGCTTTTTTAACACAGGGACTGCATCTAAGATTTTCTGGGTGGAGAGAGTTTCCCGGTGAGACAGGTCCCTCTACCGATGTAGGATGACACCTTCTGAGTCCTACAGGGTTGCCTAGTGCAATGAGAAGTCACACAACTTGCCCAGGGTCACACAGCTGAGATGAGATGGAACTCGAACCCAGGCCTTTTTGACTTTGAAGCTGTCTCACTCTCCACTGCTCCACATGGTCTGGCCTCTCCCTCTATTTAGGGGGTGGGAGAATGGAGGGGAGAAGAAAGGTGAAGCAATATAGTGAGTTGTTATTCTGAGAGGTGCCTGTCCTGCCACAAGTTCCAGAGTCTGGTGCCTTGTTTGAGATGTGGGTGTATGCTATGGATCAGTCTGTGTAGGAGGGACACTACATATGATTGATCAGAGGCACGCTGGGCACAGGAAGCTACGTCATGCTGAACCATTGGGATCAGAGCTTGGACCTCTGTTTAGCTTAAGCGATTCCATCACGTCAGGAAGCGACTGAGCCAGCCTCCTACCCACAGACATCCACGACCGTGCCGAAGGTAAAGCCTCCAACTCCACGTTTCAACAAGAGCTGCCTTTGGGCTCACGGTGGTTACTTTTTGTTCATGAACCAACTTCATATAAAAGTCAGCAGGAAATTGCTCTCCAAAGATGGCTGTCGCTTTGGAGGCCATGTGAAGTGTCCTAAGCGCATGGCTTTCTACGGCCTTGGTGATTACGGTGAAAAATGAGTCCCCCAAAGTATAGTGTTGAGTCACTAGTGCTGGCCACTCTGTACACATTTAGCAACACTTTTGCCGAATAGGTATTAAAAGAGTGCATTAAAATAGTCTTCAGTGCAGAAAAAATGACCAGAGTGACACTGGCACATTAGACACAAAAATGACATTTTAATTTCTGTTAGAAAACTTACTTTTATTTGAAAAAGTAGGATATGAGAAATTACAGACAAGAATCTTCAAATATATAAAAACATCTGCAGTAAGTCTGACATAAGAATAAAAAAGATAACCCCAAACTTGAGTTAAAGCAGAGTGGCCCATTTTGGAAGGCACTATCTTTTTCTGTAACATTTATACACAATCTCATCTAGATTTGACTGTCTGAGGGGGAAAAGAGCCCTATCTTAGACTGTTTGTCCCACCCCGTCTCAAAAGAAAAAGGAGCATCACTCCATCCTTCCTCCCCGCCCTCGCCCCCCAAAACAGACCACATATCCATGCGGGGGCAACAAACCTATTTTCACAGAAGCATGTTTTGTTGCCACAGTGTGGGAAGTAAATGGCTGGTATGTTTCTCAGGATGGATAATGCATACGTGTTCTTTAAAAACAAAATGTCAGCCTTTCTCACCTAAATGCCTCCTTCGAACACAAGGAAAAATACACACTAACAGAATGATGCCTTTCAAGCTTCATTTTTGGGCCTAATACAACATCCTAAGAAAATTACTTGCTACACCATTACCATATACACACATTTCCCCAAAGTTCCCAGCTCATGGTTTCCAGTGAAAATAAAGTCACAAAACACTGCAATTAATTTTTTTAAATTAATGAAAATGGAAATAGGTATAAGGTTGTCTTCTTCAGCAAAACTTAAGTCAGTTATTCCCTCTTCACAGTATTTCCATCTTGATAACCGACATCGCATTTATATCTCAACCTTCATTGCTGAAGTCGACAGCTGACCCATTCCGCCAGGATTGCTCAGCTGCTGCAGCCACCTGAATGGTCCAGAGAAACTGTTCTTTGGGGACAGTTGGGGGTTCTTTTCCTGTGGGGACAGAGGTAGTAGGTTGAAACCGATTCAGGGAGCACAGCGAGGTATTCATTCACTGGCGCCACAGCAAGTGATTCTGGATTCACTGGAGGCCAGAGGGGCCTCCAGGCCTACCCAAGTCATGGAAGGGGTATCTCAGCCAATGACTGTTCAGAGTCTCATCATCAAGAAGAGATGAGACGGCTATTTTTTGGCCACAACAATTCAGGAAGCCATCTATGAAGGCATGTAAGGGCTAAAATCAGCCCTTATACCAGTGAAACCATGGGTCATTTTGAAGTTTCCTGGGAAAAAGCAAAGGTTGTACTATCAGTATTCCTTCGTTACAAAGGACACTGTTTTAAATAAGACAGTTCAGGATTCAGGAGAAGTATGTGGTCACTTTCCGATACAATTACTTCCCAGTTTGGTACTATCCAGAGCCCAGAATCTCTCTCCATTCTTCAACCCACTCCAATGCAGGCATCTAATGCACTCTGGCTGTGTGCCCACCACTGAAATATAATTGACATGTATAAAGGCTCAGCAAATACTAAGAAATCTGATCCATCTATTTAGGAACATATTGACCCACCCTTTAAATTGTTATTTCATTTAAGAGAATTAATTTACTGACTACAGCATGAGAAAATGGGATCTTCTTTCAAGGATGATCTTTGGGCCCCACTGCTTTGGTTTTAGCCAACAGGGAAAAACCATCATCTCTCCAAAGCTCTGCAGCCCTTTTTCAATAAAGGCCCACAGCTGACAGGGTGTTCACAGTAACACTGGAAGATTATTCACATTCCTGTGTCCAAAAGCCTAAAATTCTTGAAAGGGCAGAAGTGGATTGGTAGATTGGATGCCTGGGTCTAAATCCTAGATCCGTCACTTCCCTACTGTGTGACTATTTCTCGAGGGACTTCAGTTTCCTCAGGGTTATTATGAACCTCCAGTGAGATGATGAATGGTGGACATTTTGGAAAGCACTGTGTAAACATCAGCTATTGATATTATCACCACAAAAAAAAAAACCCCAACTAAGAAAAAAGTTACACTGAGCAAAAATTCTGAAGGTGCTTGGCAAAGAGCTCTGAATTCAAGAACAACAAAAGCTATGCACTGGGAATGGTTTGAAAGGGATTATTTTAGTTGAAAGTAAAGTACTTTCAAATTTCTTGCTAAGCATCATTAAGTTTCTAACCTTTAAGGGTTCTGAGAAAGTGTCGAAAGAGTCCTCTATATGCTTCTTGGTACCGATCGACATGTGTGTGTGAGTATATGGACACGGAGGTTCCACGCTCAGTAATCCCCAAGGGATTCTGATTATCGACCCGTAAAGTTCCTTGAGAACCATGAACCTGGGGGAAACGTTTAAGAAAAAAATTGTTAGAATTCATCAGGACTGGAATAGGGCAGGGGGTAGATAAGTTGTTGGGTTTTTGTTTATTTTGCTTGAGACTGAGATTTAGTGAGGGTGTTAAAGAGGACTCACAGTGATAAATAAGTCAGCAGTCTAAGCTGTTTTTGCTAGTTTTTTAAACAAAGCAGTTGGTTTAGGATAAATATATAGAATCTAACGATTCAAAATTATTTCAGCGGGATATGACACATACAGGAGCACTGACTCAAGTTTAACTCTCATATCCAGGCAACCGTAAGAGTTCATGAGTGAACGCTGCTGCCCCTGGCGTCTGGGCTGCAACAGGGTGGGATTTCCCTCCCATTCTCCTTCTCCTTTCCCCTCCCCCAGGGAGCTGTAGGCAGCATGCCATCTCTAGCCTGCCTGCTCTTCCTCCTTCAGGGCAACCACAAACAGGAGGTGCTGAGGGACCAAGAGTGGGCAGAGGAGGGCAAACCTCTGCAGCTACTCCTGCCTCAATCTCCCCTCTCACCATCCTCTACTAGAGTGGGCCTCCGTAAGCCCCAACCTCTAGGCCACTTCTTCATTGCCTCTTCTGTTCTCACCCTCCTTTTCTCTCTCCCTCCTCTTATTCTTTCTATCCATCCCTTTATCTTTCTCCATCCATATCTTTCTCTTCCCCTCCGTCCCTTTCTCTCTCCTTCCTCAATCTCTCCATCTATCTCTCTCTATCCATCTTTTTCTTCTCTTTTCCTCTTCTCTTCTTCTTTCTCTTCCCTCCCTCCCACCTATCTTTTCTCTCTTCCTCACTTTCTCTCTCCATCCATCCATCTCTCTCCCTCCCATCCTGTCTTTCTCTTCCCCTCCCTCCTTTTCTCTCTTCTCATCCTATCCATCTCTTCTTCTTCTTCTCTCTCTCTTCTCTTCCTCCTCCTCCTTCTGTCTCTGTCTCTGTCTGTCTCTCTCTCTCTCTCTCTTTCTCCACTGATGTAGAGAACACCTAGGTTCGGCACATTGCCCAAAGTTACCCAACCAGCACGAGTCATAGGTCAGAGGCAGGACTGGAGTCCAAGGCCAGCTCTTAATCCACAATGTCATTCCGCTTCTCTCCTCTAGCCTGATCCCCTGCTGGTCTGATGCTCTCTTCTTACTGGTGTGGCCCAACCCTTCAAGAATCTGAGCCTCTGGGGGCCTAGGCCCTTCCTCCCTCCCTCTCAAAGCTCGACGGTGATCGTAGGGACACTAGGGGCTAAGGGGACTTGGCTAGCACAGAGAATGCAAGTGATTTCTATGAGGAAAACACTCCCAATTCCAAATGGCCTGGGACAGTAGGAGTTGAACTCTGGAGCTAGATGGGAAGAGAGAAGTTCACCTAGTACAGCCTGATTCAAATGCATTCTGGGAACACAACCCACTTCTAAGCCACCAACTGCTTGTAACAGCGATAGAGCAAACATTACATTTAAAAAACAATTTTACCCCTAAGAAGTCCGCCAGTCTTAGAGATCTTTGCAATACTGACAATAATAATCTCATAGGAAAGCAAACTTTTTCTAGGTTCTGAGCCTGCACAGAACAAAGAAAAGGGGGGAAAAGAAAGGGATCCAACTATGAATAAGAACAAATGAATTTTGACAGAACGTTGAAAACTGAACATAAAGTTAACATACCAGCAGTTATGGAGCACCACAATGCAGAGAGCACTAGGCCTGGAGTCAAGAGGACTTGAGTTCAAATCCAACCTTAGACACTTACTAGCTGGGTGACCCTGGACAAATCACTTAACCTCTGTTTGTCTCAGTTTCCTCATCTGTCAAATGGGGATAATAGTAGCACCTATCTGCCAGGGTTGTTATGAGGATCCAGTGAGAAAATCTTTGCAAAGCCTTGAGCCCAGTACCTCGCACAGAACTGGTGCCTACTTAATAAATGCTTGGCCCTTCCCCGTCTCCTTCCACTTCCCCAGCCCAGGCAAGGGCCGGTGCCACAGAGAGCTCTACTTACTTCCTCTGACAAACCAGGGGATCAGAATTTAACCGATTCTTTTCTTTCTTTCTTTCTTTTTGAGAGGGGAGGGGTGAGTCACTTATTTATCTTCTGTATATAGAAAACTGGGAGTAAATGTGGATTGTTTTTTCTCTAGTCACAAGAAGAAGGGATTTCAGAAAGGACACATTACCTCCACTCTCAGGTCACAGCTTTTGGTGCAGTGTTGACTGATATCCAAACTAACAATGGCCCCACTAGGAAACTTCATGCTGACCATGACACTGTCTGCATCTTTCAAAGAGGCCACATCTGGACAAAAGGAGGTCATTGCTTTAGGTCACTTCACATTTGAACACACAAAAGCAGCAGGACTTTTTTCTGAAACCCAACATTGGGTCGCCAAAGTAAACGCAAGCTCTCAGTTAACAGCTGCATTCCTAAGACTACAAAAAGTGTCAGGATTGGGGGTCCAGTCTCATAGGTTAGTCCCTGCTCTAGACAGTCCAATAAAACATCCAATAAAACATCTGAGTACCTACCACATGCACAATGCTGTGAGAGCCATTGTTGGTGGGCAGGGCAGGAGGGAGGCAGCTGAGATCAAGTTTAGCTAGTGACCAGAACTTTCAGTCTGGTAAAACAATCTGCAGATCCATGGGGATGGATTAGAATGGATGTCATCCAGGGCATTTATTAATAATCACCCTGTTCTTACAGTTCTGTAACTGGCCAGGACATCCTTGGGACAGATGGTTCTCATGGAAAACCTCCAGTACATGTGACTAGCCCCACAAACACCAGCCCCGAATGAAGAGTCTGACCTCTCTGCCTAGATGAGACACCACGATGCTGAGGGGCAAAAGGAAGTGTGGTTTTAGGAAACTGGTTTTGAAAATACTCTGGGAGTATCCTCACTACATGCTTCTGCTCCATCGAGAATTCAGCCCACTAGGCCTTATGAGGAAGGATTTTAGCACCAGACATGACCTGTAGTCAGAAGACCAAGGGGGTAAGTCCAAGCCTTGGCTCTCGCTACCTGGGTAACTTTTGGCAAGACACTTCATCTCTCCAGGCCTCGGTTTCCTGAGGGGGCTGGACTGGGTGATTTCCAAAGGTGTCTTCCAACTCTAAGACTACGATCCTATGAGTAAGAGGTCAGCTTTACGCAAAAATTTTTCATCACGGCTTCTCTGGTTTCAACGACTACAACTTTGACTATCATGTTAGAACAGAAGCTCCCTGAGGGCAGGGATTATCTGGATCTTGTACCCCAAGCCTGGCTCAATAAATGCTTTTCCATTCATTCACTGCAACCCCACACTTTTCAAAAACTCCAGCCAGTGGCAGGACAAACCATGCCTCTTACCTGAGCAGAACGCATGACCCAAAGAAAAGACTGTGTCTGGAACACTCTCTCCCAACAAGAGACTGACGATGTCCACGTCATGCACAGCAGCGTTATAAAAGATCCCACCTGGAAACAAACCAAGTCACTGCTGATAGTTTCAGTCGAGGCAGAAGCACCCAACAAAAACACACGTGTCCCACAGGCTTTCTAGCCATGAGCAAAGCCTCAGGGCGTGTCCATGTTACCCGACACAGATATAACAGAACTGACTTCCACAGAAGGGAGTCTTTCACACCTGACTTCCTTAGCAAACTGGGAGAAGCTGGTGGATAGATGCTGCTAACGACTGCTATCCGATGTATCCTCCCTAGCGCGCGGCTCTCACCGACTTTCTGGTACAAGAATTGTAAAGCTGGATCAAAACGCCTGGAGAGGGACACATGAAACAGGAAGAGGGAACCCTGGTCATCCGCAACCTGATCACTGGGAAGGCACCAAAAAATGTCTCTCCCACCAACCATACAGCTTCTAGCCAAGCTGTCTAGACTGCCCAGCTCTACGCCACTGTCCCTTATCTGAGGCAGACATGACCATGGGTCTCCTGCAGCATGGGGTTTGTGGGAACCCCTCATCATGTATGGGGGAAAAAATAAAAGGTAAGAAAACAGACTGAGATCCTCTCAATCCTTATGAGGACTGTTAAATTAGCTACAAGAAAAATTCCCTGAAGACTGATTTTTACGTACAAATGTGAATAAATACTCATAGCCAAAAATACAAGTCTTACTTGTAGAATCCACAGACTAATGGTTTCCCACATCTGTTAGCTTCATCGAAACACATCTCAGCAATCTGTCTATCCAAACTAGGGAGTTTCTCACAAAACACACCTTTGCCTAAAAACATCAAGAATGAAACCAAAATGTAATCAAAAATCCATTGTGAGACATAATATATTTAAAATATAGTGTGGAGAGAACACTGGATTTGTCAGCAGGAGAGACCTGGGTTCAAACCCCCATTTAGACACTTACTAGTCATGTCATTTTGGGAAAATCACCTCATCTCCCTAAACTAGAATTTACTCTGGACCACCAGGGCTGGCTGTTTGACCCAACCCAGCATCCTAAGGACCACTGGGCTTCCTCCTCTGCTCCACAGCTGAACCCTCCTTCACCGTCTCCCCTTCTCACAGGGTAGGGATTGTCCCATTTTCCCATTTGTATCCCTAGCACCTGGTAAAGTTACTGGCATGGAGTAAGCACTTAATACATACCCTCTCATCCATTTATTCATGTAGTACTATTTCCTGGGGGAAATACTACTCACACTGCCTACCTCACAGGGCGAGGAGAGCATGACCTTACAGCTACATAAATGAGCTATTCATCTAAATGGTCGCTGGGACGCCGCAAACTGTCCCCTCTCTCACAAACTCATGTCATTGGTCCCAAAGTGAATCAGATGGGGAAAGAAGTTAGCTCGACTTCTGCGTTCATCTCCTCTTGGCGACAGCATTACCCATTCTACCAGAATTCTTCAGGAGGAAAGTCTTCCCTTGTGCTATGGCCAGGAAGAGGCTCTCCTCTCCTCAAACAACACCTACATGAAGATGCCACAGGTGCCCCTAGAATTCAGTAGCAGGTCGGAACAGGGATGTTTATCGCTCCCTGTGGAAAGGGAAGTGAATATACCTGGCTGTCCCCTTCCTCTCTTTTGTTGCCAGAATCACTGGACATCAACTAAGGAGGGAAAGGAAGGACAACAGCAATAGGAAAAGCCACTACAAATCCACCATTGTTAGCAGTAAAGCAATTGACACCATACAGCCTATGGAAGATGGGCCAGTAATTTTGGAGGTTCACAGATTTAGAGCTGAAAGCACCTTAGAGGTCATCTAGCTGAACCCCCTAGTTTTAAAATGAATGAAAAATTTATTAAATGATTACCAGGTGCCAAGTGATGAGAAAAAGTACTAAGGATGTGAATACAAAAGTGAAGCCGGTTTCTGCCCTCAAAGAGTTTACATTCTAACAGGTGAAGACAACACACATCTGGGGGCGGGAGCCAGAGAAGTGTATCTGGTTTGGACGGTATCAGAGAAGGGCAGCGGAGCCACAGGAGAACAGACTGACCAGCCTTTTCTACTAGGAAGAGCATTCCTGCTTTGATTATGGCTCCCGAAGCAGAAAAGGGGCCAAGCACTAAGGACTGGCCCAAGGTCCCAGGATCCAAAGGCTGCTTCTGTCAGCAGTGTGACCTTTCTGGGCTTTAGTGTCCTCTTTTGTCAAATGACAGGATTGTACTAGAAGACCTCTGAGGCGCCGTCTGGCTCCAACCCTGTGATTTGATTTCAGATTTGTTGTTATTGTTTAGTTGTTTCAGTCGTGGCTGACTCTTCGAGACCCCATTTGGGGTTATGGAGAGGTGTGCCATTTCCTTCTCTGGCTCATTTGACAGATGAGGAAACTGAGACAGAATTGAGTGACTTGCCCAGGGTCCTGCAGCTAGTAAGCATCTGAGGCCAGATTTGAACTCAGGAAGATGAATCTTCCTGACTCCAGGCCCGGCGCTCTATGCACTGAGCCACTTTCTATTTCAGAAGGACTTACTTAACAGTTCCTTCATAACAAAGACTGGAACTGTCCACCAACCTCTACGCTCGGTTGTTTTGGGGTTATTTTATACATATGTTCTGAATATACGAATCTATAATGATCTTCAAACAGTAGCAGGGAGAGGAAAGCTCTGAAGAGGAAGGCAGCCCTCTTCCACGAGTGAATGAACAAGAGTGAAGCATGAGCAGCAAGCAAGAAAGACATTTAGCGGAGGCCAGCCTCGGGCAGGCAAAATTCACCTTTTCCTGAGAATGGAGAAGCAGAGACTCTCATGACAATGCACACGGCCATAGGCTGCTGGAGGCACATGCTTTTCTCGAGTCCATGCAAATCTTGGCCGGTTCGGGAACGTTCGTCCACAGTCACTGGAGCTCTGTACAGTGAATGAACACTTCTCTTCCTCTGTTACCAAGTCCAATCCTTTCTGTCTGCCAATCCTCATGAAATGACACTTGCTTTGGGGTCAGAGGACTGAGGTTCAAATTCTCACTTTAGGTGGCAGAGTGGATCAAGTGTTGGGCTTGGAGTTAGGGAGACCTGAGTTCAAATCCCACTTCAGACACATACCAAGCTGTATGACCCTGGATAGGTCCCTAAACTTCCCTCAGCTCAGTTTTCTCATCTGTTAACTGGGGATAATAATAAGAGCACTTGCTTCCCAGGGTTGTTGTGAGGATCAAATGAGATGATGTTTGTGAAGTTCTTCATAAACTTTACAGCACTATGTAAATGCCAGCTACTATTTATTACTACTGTTGTCCTTTCGTCACCCCAGGCAAGTCCGAGGCATGAAGCCTTAGCTTCCACAACTGTAAAAATGGAAGAGAGTCCCATTAGACTCTCTCAAAAGTCTCTCTGACTCTACATCCTATGAGCTGATGCTGGTCCAATTCTACAGGACACAGTTCTGACCTGATGCCACCCATGCAGCTGCCTGGAAGGTCTCTAATTTGTGGGGTCCAAAATTATCCAACTCAAGAAAAACCACCAAGGCAGAGCTCCGAGCCAATAACCATTTACTAAAGGGACCATACCCCTTTGTTTAATCCTTCTCACAATCTGAGATGCCTCTTTTCCCCAGGGCCTTACTCAGAAGAGGCAAAGTAAAATACAGAGTTTCACTGGATGATAGACCTTGATTCTGGCCCTCCCTCCAGGAGGGCCAGAAATCACATATTGGCATGGGTGGTCAGAGGATGGGCAAGGCAAGGGTCATCTCTACTGACTAGGTGATCATAAGATGGTCCCTTTCTCATGCTGGGCAAGAGAGGGGTCTAGAGGTACAAAAATAAATTGGGAGACTTTCCATATCACATCAAGACATCCCACCCACACTGTGTTTGGTCATCAACATTCTTTGTTGTTAGGCAAGTGAACTTTATAACTGGTAGTTTAAAGTCTGGGATCTAATACAAGAAAGAATCTATCTAATCTTTTCTAATTATTCTTACATCTAACATATGGAAAATATGTATTATTACATATAATTCCTATAATCATGTCAGTTGACTAGACTGCCTAAATGCATATTACTAGACGAGTGTATCACTAATAATTGCTAATGATCATGACCCCCGTGGAACTGATTAATACTGAGTGGAGCAAAAGAGAGGTCTAAGTAAAATCATTTTTGTCAATTTTCAGTGTCATTTTAAAGTTTTCCTATGGACTGTCCAGCATGAGGCAGACAGAACCTCTCCAACAAGAAATCCCACTGGAAAAATCCAAGCCTGGTTCTTTTTAGGGAGTGAAATCAAGAGTAGTTTCCTTACCTGCTCTCAATGCACCCATCACAATTTCAGAAGCTGCTTCAGGGGGTGAACAGATAATGACTCCAGAGACACTACCACGTGTAGGAGGAGAGAGAACATCAGAGAAGTCATTGGATTTAAACAGATTCGTGATGGTCAAGTTTCAAAGAAGACCCACACTCAAATGACAACTCCCTCAGAAAAAGAAAACTTAGGGCAGAGACTCTTTCTAAGGCAGGTAGGAAAATAGGAAACATTTCAATGGATAAAAGTTAGAATGCATTTCTAAATTGGAATTTGTTTTTAAATTCAGATTGAGGTTGATATTTAGGATATAGCAGAACTATACGTTGTTTTTTTAAGGGAGTTTTTTTTTTTAAAGGGGGGTAGAGACAAAGTTTGCATTCTTTTTTCTGTCTCTTAAGTGGCCTAGTCAGACTCCTTAAAAAAACAACAACAAACTCAGGTCTTAAATTAAGTGAAAAATGAAACTTGTGACATTTCCTAAAGACAATCAAACACACTAAATATTTCCAAGAAAAATGGATAATAGAAAATATTCTTCTCTCTAAACTTAAAATAGATTTAAAACTTTGGTGGAAACTGCCTGATCAAGTCACAGAAGCTTCTGAATTCCATTATCCAAATTCCAAATATTAAGATTTTTCAAAATATTATCTAATATGAGAGAAAACCTTTCCTAGTGTCTGGAGGGTCTTAACATTAAACTGTTTGTCCTTTTGGCCCTACACTGTCACTGCTAAGCATACACTCCAAGGAGACGGATGAGAGATATCTGTAAACAAAATATTCACGGCAGCACCGAGACTGCCAGAAACTGGAAATAGAATAGGTACCACTGGGGAATGGCTGAACAAAATGTGATGTATGACTATAATGGAAAGTTAGGGTGTTATTAAGGGGAAGTTGGATCTAATTGGTTTAGGGAACTCCCAGAGAGGAAAATCCTGATAGCAATGCCCATCAAGGGGCAGCTAGGTGGTGCAGCGGATAGAGTACCTCCAGGCCTGGAGTCAGAAAGACTCATCTTCCTCAGTTCAAACCTAGCCTCAGACACTTCTTGGCTGTGTGATCCTGGGCAAGTCACTTCACCCTGTTTGCTTCAGTTTCCTCATCTGTAAAATGAGCTGGAAAGGGAAATGGCAAACCACTCCAGTATCTTTGCCAAGACAACCCCAAATGAGGTCACAGAGAGTCAGACACGACTGAAAACAACTGAACAACAACAATGCCCACTGGCAACAGCTCTGCAAGGGACAGTTTCAGAGAGTTGCACGGGACACTGAAAGGTAAGTAACATACCCAGATCACACATTCAGTATGTATCCAAGGTAGGACTTGAACCCAGGTCTTCCTGACTTGGAGGCCTGCTGTCTATCCACTACAACACGATGTCACTGGGCCATAAGAAACAACAAATACAAAGAATTCAAAGAAATATGGAAGGCTTTGTAGGAAATGATGCAGAGCAAAGAAAGTAAATCCCAGAGAACAATTTACACAATGACATTTACACAATAACTACAAGAGGAGAGAAGAGGAATGAACAATGTTAGTCTTAGAGAAGTGATAATGAAAGGTCCCTCCCTCCTGTTAGCAGAGCTAGAGATGTGGAAGGTGAGGAGGACAACTGATGCGTCAGCCCATTTTGCTTAAATGGTTTTCTTTGTTAAAACAGAGGGTTCAATGGGGATACATACATATACACACATGACAAAAAGAATGAGAGAAGAGAAAGGAGAGAAGTAGGTTGACTCTACGTATGTATTCTGAAACACTGATCTTTTTGAGTGAAAGGGAAAAAAAGGATTGTTGCATTAAAAACTTCATTATCACTACTTTCAATCAATAATGATTCTTCACATTTATACATCACCTTTCAGCTGAGGACTTGCAGAACACTTACATCCAATACTAAAGACAAGGTGGGACTTAACTGCTTCTACTAAATCTCAAAATGTGACAGGCCAAGAAAAAAAGAAAGAAAAAAGGCATAGAGAAGCCAATGGCATAGGCTGGATCTATAACTACATTGGCATAACAACATTCAGACAGGCCAAAAAATTGGGCGGGGGTCCTGATTCACTGCTGGCCACAAGACAGCTCCGTGAATAACAGAGAATCTGCTAAGCTGCATCTCCGCTGCTCACACAGTGGTCTCTGGGAGCCACGGGGAATTGAGACCACAGACAAGAGGATCAATCCTGATCTATTGGTTGAGTAGCCTGATTAAGGGTGAACAGAGAGTAAGAAATGCTGACTCCCAGGACTCTGTTTGGTCCAGCCCCTGGAAAGGCCACTAACCAAAAGGGGCAACGTCACCCTCCCGGCCCCAGGAACAAGCATGCCCTTGAGTTTCTGGTAACCATACCGCTGATCATTAAGTACAATGTTGGCATCTTGCTCCCGAAGCACGCGGGTGTTCACCAAATGGTCTGATCTGAAGGCCTGCTCGACATCTGACAGCTGATCTTCAACCACGTAGAGCAGGCAGCAGCTGTCTTCTTCCACTAAGCTCTGAAACAATGCCTTGTTCCCAGAGCCTACACCAAAGAGAGCAAGGCCAAGGCTGCTTCCCAAAGCCCCATCACTAAGAAGCCATCCTACTCCGCTTCCAGAAGCCACACTGCTGGATGCTTCTGAAACAATAAGCCTTTGGCTATTCTGTTCTGAGGGGACGGCGGGGCTTTTCACGTGAAGAGTCGTGAATGCAGAAGGGTGGTTGGTGGAGGTAGATGGAGTTTGGTCTTCTCTGACAGGCACGGCACTGGTTGTGGAGCTGATAGCACTGAGGTGGGCAGGGAGCAAAGCTCTGTGGTAGGAAGGAGGTGAAGGCACCATGCTGGCACTGGTACTGGTAAGGCAGGGAACGCCTGGGAAAACATAGGGAGGCTGAGAAAGCAAGGCTGGAGGAGGATCAACCTGTACAGGGAGGTGGCTACTCAGGTCTGAGGCTGCTGATCTAGATCAAAAAAGTAAAATTAATTTTAATGAAGGATGTAATAATTAATGTGCCCAACCCACAAACTCTTTAGCTAAAAAAACAACTGTCCCTAAGGAAATGCCTTGGAGCAAGACACAAGGAATTATTCAAGATACAATTTCTTACCAATCAATAACCATCTTTTAAATACCTACTATGTGCAGATAATTAAAGCAAGGAATGAAAAAATAATGTATTAAGCACATACTAGGTGCTGTGATTTCATTACGGCAGGACATTCCATTAGGACAGAACTCCTCATGAAGGTCACTTTTTCTGCAACTGAGATGCTGAGAGCTCATTAAGTCACTTGTACTGGCCCACACAGCCAGGATGGGTCAGGGGTGGGACAGCTCTTTATCCACCATGCCATCCTGCCTTTCAAGCAACTAAAATAAGCCCCAAACAACCAAGACATTGCAAAAGTATTTTGCAGTTGTGTATGTTAGCTGTGTGACCCTGGGCAAGTCACTTCACCCTGTTTGCCTCAGTTTCCTCATCTGTACAATGAGCTAGAGAAGGAAAAGGCAAACCACCCTAGTTCCTTGCCAAGAAAACCCCAAATGGGGTCATGGAGAGTTGGGCACAACTGACACAACTAAACAACAAGGTTGTACACCACAGAATTTAGCATCTACATGAACACACTATCAAAGCACTGCAGGAGTCTGGAAGGTTGTCCCTGCTCATGTCTGCCTCTCAGGATTCCATCAAGATTCCCCTGCAATCCCCCAGCTGCCAGTACTTCCCCCTCTGCATTTACCTTCCGTCATCTCTGCAGCCATCTTACACATACCTAGTCTGTCTCATCTCTGTGGACCGCCCTACCCCCTTAAATCATGGGCTCCTTCCATATCAGCAGCACTTAGCACAGCAGCTAGGTCATAAGGAAATGCTTGTTGACTGACATATCTATAAAACAACTATGTCTGTGACTGTGATGGCTCATATCTGTGTAGTGCCTTAAGTTTTGCAGAGCTCTTCATATTCGTGATCTCACGGGATCCACATGAAAACCCTGTGAGGCAGAGGGTCAGACGGGGTAGACAATCTGCTCAATCACCCACAGCGCACGTGCCTAAGGTGGACTCAAACCCAGGGCTTCCGGCTCCAAGCCCAGCATTCTCTCTACTATGAATGAATCGTTAGCCCTTAAAATGGCCCCATTCAAAGTTACAGGATTAGGAACCCTCAGACAAGAGCAAAGTTAACCCTAATTGAAGATTAGGAAGATTTAGAGCTTGAAATCCAATTCCCTCATTTGACAGATGAAAAAACGGAGGCATCTAGTGGAAAGAATTTTAAAATCACCATTCCGCCCTAGTACTACTCGTCTCTTACAAATCTCATCAAAAGCTTCTTTCCAACTGAAGGACCCTAAATGAGCTTTCCGCTGGAGCTAAGGGAAAGGCAGAGGACTCCCAGCCACTTACATAAAGATGGGAGTTTGGCCTCCACGCTGCTTCATGCGGTGACGGTTCCTATAATGCCTGCCAGAGGACAGGTGCTCCAGGATGCGGTCCCTCCTCACCCTCATGGGCAGCTCACAGGATTTGCAGTATAGAGTCTCTACCACAGAGGTGCCCCCAGACTCACTGTGTTCAATCACATGCCGTTTTACCCCCAGGTCTGTAAACTCAGCTGCATAGTCATGTAAAGTCTTCTTCTTTCGGCCCATGATGGGAGGTGGGGGGCAGGGAATGTAAGAAAGTTAAGGGGTCACCAGGACTCCAGGACAAAAATTAGGCTCTCTGCCCTACTTTATCAGAGACCAGGGACCGCACTTAACACTCAAAGCAGAGGAAGGGAGCCATTCAGTTGGTAAAGGCCAGAGTATCCACAAGCTGTGCAGAAAACTACTGGCATGGAGGGCTCAGTGAAAGGAGCACAAGCCACGGTCCTGGCTCCCAGTCTTTGACAGGGACCCAGGGGCTGGGGCAAGAGATTTTCTTTGGGAGTAAAATCTATCACAGAGAGGTGGCTGATGTGTCAGTGAGGAGAGAGCAGAGTGACTTTTAAAGAGAAGGGGCATCCACTGTGGAACTGGGGGTCAATGTGGAAGAGTGTACTTGTCTGGCTCCCTTCCCCTTCTCCCCCCCCCAGGGCATACGGTCCACCATTGGATTGGAGAATCCTGAGAGGCAAGAAGGGGGCTACTGGTCTTTCTCCTTTTTCCCAAGAGAAAGAAGAAGAGAAGGAAAGAAGGAAGAGTGGGAGGGAGGAAAGGAAGAAAGGAGAGAGGGAAGGGAGGAAGAAAGGGAAGAGGGAAGAAAAAAAGGGTGGGAAGAAAAGAGAAAGGGAAGGAAGAAGGGAAGAAGAAAAGGTAGGGAAGGAAGGGAGAGAGGGAGGTGGCTACGTGTGTCAAAAAAGGGAAATCGCGTTACTTTTTTGGAGAAGAGGGTAATGTTCTGCGGAAGGGGGATGGAGGGAAAGGAGACGCCCCACAGGGTGCAGTGGGGGGAGGGGCAGGTTGTCCCCGGAGTGGGGGATGGGGAAGACGGAGTTCCTCCAAGGGGAAGAAAAGGCCCCGGGCCGACCTTGGCTGGGGGTGGGGGTGGGGTGCCAGGGTCTTTAATCTTTGCCGAGAGAACGGGGGGGCGGGGGGGGGGGGGGACAAGGGGTATCTTTCCAAAGAGGCTGAACAAGTCTCTCCTCAGAGGACTGGGAAAAGGGGACCTTAGGGGTCTCTTTGGGGGAGTATGGCAGCCAACAGGGTCTGTGGGGCTTGTGAAAGGTCAGAAGGTCATGGGGGGTCGCTGACGGGAGAGGTCGCGGATTCTCTCTGGGGAGGGTCAGGGGGTCTCCACACTGGGATCAAGTCTCCGGCAGGGTTTGGGGGAGTCTCCCTCAAGGGTTTCTAGCCCCAGGCCCCGCCGTCCCCTTCCCGCTGTTCTTGGCCCGGGAGGAGCTTCAGCGCCATTCCTCCATCGACCCGACCCATGCCGGGGTCCTTCAGGCCTCCAAGGGACTTTAAAGCCACGGCCGACCCCAGCCTGATCCGGATCCGGAAGCTCGGGGCGCGAAGGAGGGGCCAGACTCCTTTCTCTCCCCACCCCCACTCCTCCAGCCATTCTCTTCTTAGAGCCAACGGCTGCGGAGACGTGCGCGCGTGCGCATGCGCTGTCCCCTCCCAGAGCGCGCTCGCTCTCTTACTATTTCCCCATCTCCATCTTCCACCGAGCCCAAGGGCCTTGCGCATGCGTACGAATACTTCTCTAGCGCCCACCTGCGGCTCCTCCGCTTCTTTTCTGTGGGCGCTGCCCTCTCAGTGCCTTCTCTTGATCTTTGACACCATCCCGCACTCTCCTTCCCACTCCTTCGTCCTCGCCCCCTGCGCCCTCGTTCCCTCTCTCCCTTTCCTGCGCTTTTGTCTCCTACCTTTCCCATTCTCCTGCGTTCTCGTCCCCCTTCCTTTCCTTCTCTTCTGCGCTCCTCCCCTCTTCCTTTCCCGCTCTTCTGCCCTCCTCTCCCCTCTTCCTTTCCCTCTCTTCTGCGCTCCTC